ACGCACGGCAACTTGGAATCTTTTGTTTCATATAATAAAGAATTTTAAAAAGTTTTAATGACGACGTCATCTATACGTCTGTCCTCCAATAGATCATAAGTGAGAACCAATAAGAATGCGTGCATAACTGAGCTTATTATATATTTTTGGTTACATTTTCTTATTTTCTTCAGTTTTTGATCTTGCAAAGCTGTTAACCAAACATTTTTTCTCTTCTTTCTGGTAACATTAACTCCTTCCTTTCAAAAAAAATTTTTAACGAGGATCGAGTTATTTTTAAAGGTGAGTGGCCATTTGGTTAGTCAATATTTAGGGAACGTGGCAGATGCTTTACAGCGATTTTGATTTAAAAATAATGTATAGTGATTCGTCATCGAAAAAATTTAATACTTGTCTCAGCAGCTCAAGTCTAAGCAATAAGGTTTTTTCACTTGATTGGAATATTTTGCACCAAGTTGGTGCAAAATATTCCAATCAAGCCTTGAAAGTCAGTCGTTCGTTTTGAAAAAAAAAAAAACCTTCATCAAATAAGATAAAATCATCACACGAGCCTTTTCCGTAAATAAGTGGTGTCATCTTTAGAGAGCTCTAAGCCAAAGGACGAAGATTGATGAAATCGCGGCAATAAACCACCTTTCGTATAAATTGAAGAACCCTTTCAACAAAAATTTTTATCTTTTTATCATACAATAGCTTGAACCGTCGCTGACAATTGATTTCTCACATAAACAGATTTCGAACCCGTTTAAACGAAAACGAAACGTGATAGATGTTTGCATTATATCTCCCGTTGCTTGGATAATACAAGGGTCATCTAGCAAATACCCTGATTATTTTGGCCCACTAAAAAAACATACAACCTTAAATTTGCTTTAACATGAAACTTTTCCTAAAGAATATTTAGCTGATTAATACTTTCCAGAACGAGAAGAAGCAGTTTTTCCTTTTTATTTTGAAAAAAGACAAAGAGGTGCAGCCAAAATTTTTAATATGCTTAAAACAAAATTCTGTTCTATCAATTTCCAGGAGGCCTTCACGCTTCAATTTCTAACAAAAAGACTGCCATGATTACCTCCTCAGTAATTTCAGATAAAAAGGAAAAAAATTTTGTTCGAAAGAAAACACTATCATTTCAGTATAATAAGACAAAGCATTTATAACGAAAACTACTACCAAATACGGTGATGAGTAACCTAAACAGAGAAGCGGTTTGAGACAGGTCTCGCCTTATGCTCGCTTCGGATATGAAAAGTCGCTTTTCGGTGGAGAATAGGAAAATTGAACTTTCCCCCGTTCCTGAACAAACGCTGTTTGTAACAGTGGTAGAGATATCAAGAGAAAAACACACATTGGTGTAATTTTTCACTTTAATTCGTTTTTACTGAGCTAAACTTGAATTAAAATTCTAAGCTGACAACGATTTTGGCAAAAATCCGTAGGATCAAATTTCTTATGTCAAGACTTTGGACGTGAAACATTTCAAATTTCGAGGCAGGTTAACAGCATTGGGACCATCAAATTAATAGAGATGTTCACTTCGAATGTCTCTCCAAAGCAGTATCAACATGGACTGTGTTGACTGTCTATCGTTGGCGCCAAAGGTCAAACAAATTCGGTTTTATTAGACTGAAATTTTTAGATGAACTGGTGTAGATCAAATTCCTGTGGATACAAACAGAAAAATGAGGAACGCAAAGGGTCTTTGGAGCTGAAATCGTTATTTGATGCTCTTAATTTTGATTCATCCCTTCACAAAAACTGCGACGCAACAAGCGGGAAAACTAATATGGGGATCCATACATTATCAGCCATCATGATAGTAACTACTACAGTCTTCTCTTGGTATGAATGTTGCTAAGTATTTGTATCCATTCTTTTGATGCCTCTTGTTGAATTTTGAGTTTGTTAAAAAAATTAACATTTTAATGATTGCAAGCGGGTACGCAAGTAAGAATCTAAGATAAGGTCAAGTAAGACCTCACGAACTGTGCCGGCATTATAAAGTACGGAAGCTGAGGGTCGCTAGTTCTATACTTCTATGTGACCTCTTTTTCCTTTCTTTTACTTCGAAAATTTGTTTTTCCTTGGTTTTTACTTTCTTTTTTCTACCAAATGTTATGACGAACAAGCCTTTTACTATTTCGCGATGGTGCGATTTCCCATCATAGGAATGGTACTGTGAGGAGAAATTAGATGCTACTGAGTAACTCTTGGGCTTTGAAATGTTAAATCTTAATTAATCTTGTGAACTTGAAGAGTAATTTACCTCTTATCTCGGTTATAAGCACTGAATTATAAGTACTGAATAAAAATAGTTTCTTTGCACTGAATTATTCTTAATTAAATGCAATCACAACCATTTTTCATATCAATTTTTTTTTGTTCAGTTTCAAGCGTAAGAATCAGAACAGGTTAAGATTTCATAATTTATCCCATAGCCAGTGTCATATGATCATACTGGTTTAAATTCTTCATAGATAAAACAACTAAAATGCAACTACTCTGAAGACAACTCAATTTTCCATGTAAGGCTTTTGTCATTTATTCTGTTTGATTTGCATTTCTCAAGCCGTTTGTCATTTTTTTATGAATATTTAATTATCTTAGCGCAACGCGGCAAAAATTGATCAGTTGACTAATTATTTAAAAACCTAGAAGTTCGTTACGCAACTTACATTTCAAAAGTGTCACCACAGATTTCATAATTTATCCCATAGCCAGTGTCATATGATCATACTGGTTTAAATTCTTCATAGATAAAACAACTAAAATGCAACTACTCTGAAGACAACTCAATTTTCCATGTAAGGCTTTTGTCATTTATTCTGTTACTGATATATTGTTATCCCGATTGATTTACACGTTACATTACTCCTCTCCCATTTTTCTACTTTAACTCAGCTCTGCTCCCAGGGAATTGCAAACAGTCATGTGTCCCAAAGACACCTTATCGCTCCTGCGATGGAATTTGAAGGTCCATTCTCAGCGTTACTGGTTAGTATGATTTACATTTAAATGCAATTAAGAGGAGCGATGGCAAGCTTGAAATAAAGTAATTGTCTTCCTACCCGATATCGCGGTTGGTGGTCATCATAAACACCAAATAGCTGTCTCAAGAGTGTAAACCATGAGAAGATTTGATTGTGAATGGGAAAAAAAAATCGAGATTGGGCTGAGGTAAATAGAAAAATTTATTCAACAAGGTAGACTACGAACGATGAATAAAGGAAGTTTATTTATCACAAAGCACTCAGCATTAATTATAGAACTATAGTGTGACTCAAACCCTCTCAAAGGGGGAAATGGTCTCTCTCTCTCTCCAGAGTCAATTAAATAATCCGTTTCTTTTTTTTCTCTTCCGTCTAGACTTTATAGTTGTCTCTGGTTTTTGTTCACCAAGTGAATAAATAGCAAGCAACGTAGATTGTTTATCTTTTATTTCGAACAGTTTAAATCAAGCAGACCTGTTTAGTTACAGGATGTAACTTACTAAAATTCCATAAAAGTTTAATTAAACATAAAAAATCTCGATTTTAGCAGTAATTTTTCCGCAAAAAAGAGAAAAAGTAAAAAAAAGAACCGGGTGCTATGATCACTTTTGTTTTGTCGATATGCAAATGAAAGGTGTCGTGGAAAACGACACAGCCATGTTTTGTGTACAAAACCGAAGAAATATCCTCGTATTTATTTGTTAGTTTCCCGCCCCATTTATTTTAGGGTTCTACGCAAGTGTATTCTTATAACACTAAGTAAAAAAAATTCACTTCAACAAAATGCCGATTTAAGGAAAATCCAATACGGTCACTCACGGCTCATTTTATTCATTAAAATGACTTTTAAACTGATTCATTATACACAAACTTGTCTCGACGAGAAGCTCATTTAGTAAACAAAATAAAACTTTAGTGATCTCGCATTTCGTCATGTACCGAGTGATGAAAACGACCGCCGTCTTTGCAACCATATGATTGTCATGTTGGATAATTCTTTACTCTTTTTCTGTGCAACTTGATTATTAAAACGATATTTACATGGAACCTAAACCATTCTGTTTTGTCAGCGCTCTCCCGATATCTTCTGTTAAGGGACACAATCAAACAAAGGCGCAAACTTAATAATTGAATTGAAGTGAAGATATTTTTAACGTCTCAAAATCTTGAAGTCTCGAACGCAGTCACCAAAAACGATTATAGTCAACAATATTTTGCACATCTTTGAGGTTCTTGAGCATCTAAGATAGAAACTCTGTGGTTATACTTGTTAAACGCATGAAAACTTTGAATAATAAAACGGTTATATCGGAAAAACTCTGATTTTATTTCATCGATAAAATAAGCTCTCCTCCGTTAGTAAATTAAAGTTATGATTTTCATCAATTTATGAGGCAGCTAGGCAAGTAATACAAAGCGTTGTATTTTTTAATCATAATAGGAACCACCTTTGACAAGAAAACACAATGTCAAAAAGAATTAACCATTTTCTAGTTAATCATGAACGTTGATGAAGGAAATGCATTACTTGAGTTGCCATGTTTGATTCATATGAGCGTTTTTTAGTGCAGTAGAGCGGACCAAATAAAAGCAAGATTATGGAACCAGTTGTTATACAACGATACTTAAAACATTAATATTTCTTCATTATAAAGACATTTGAAATTCTGTTTCTCAAGATATAATATTGATGAACGTGTTAAATGTAAGGCAATCCAGTTACTTCAAATGTAAACCCCGTTATATTAGGAGCTTTAGAAATACAGAAAAGGAAATATTCTTCCAAAAACGCATCCATAACCTTCTTTACCTATTTTATGATACAATTCAAGCCAATTCTTCAACATTTTCAGGCAGGAACACATTAGACACATCGTAGTTGACTCCTGGAGAAGATGCAACAAATGAGACGAGGTAACCGTAACAAGAATGAAAGGCTTCATCCTACTGGACGAATTAGCTGAGTAAATTAAAGTATCTGCACTGGCCAATGATAAAACACAGCAGAATGAACCTTAGAACGGATTAAACACTTCCGTTGTTTCTCAAACTTGTTAGGACGAGATGCCAAGTAAACAAGAAACGTTTTCTTATGTGGAAAAAAAAAATTTTCACTCACACTCGAAACAGTCTCTAGTGAGGTAAGTATCGTGCAGGCGAATATTTCAGTTTTGTTTACATTTTCGTATTTTCTTCAATTTTTATTCCTGAAAAGCTGATGACACGAAAATTTTCTCTTGTTTTGCGGTAGCGTTCATTCCTTTCGTTTCGAAAATCTCATTGCAAGCGTCAAGTTATTTTTGAAGGTGAGTGGATCGCTTTTTAGACGAGATTTAGGGAACATGGCTGATGCTTTAGAACGATTTTGATCTGACGTGTATATCGGTTTGGCACTGGCAAATTCACGGCTTACACTTTAGTAACCGGGCTACCGGTGTGTACAGAGAGAGTTTGCTATATTGTAACAAGGTTTTTTCGCGTAAAATATCACAATCAAGCCTTGAAAGTCAGTTGTTCGTTTTAAAAAAACCTTCATCAAGTAAGATAAGAAGATAAAATCATCACATAAGCTGGGTACATCTACATGAAAAACCAAAGTACGAAGAATACCTAAAGATGAATAACTCTCGAATTGATTGTCACAAAATATGGAACAGCCTAATAACACTTCAGTTACTGCTGTTTTTTTTCGCTTTTCAGAACAGATTTCTGTTCATTTTGCAATAAGACACGAAGGTGCGGCTACAATTTTTGAGGAAGGTATGCTATCGACATATGTTAACACAAAATTTTCTCCACTTCTTAAAAAGTTTCTTGGCTCCAAGATGTTTATAAAAATATTACATTACTTACCAAAAAGTCCTATTTCATTGATTTTTAAAAGTATCATCGAGAGAAAATAAACATTGTATACTCTCTTGGTGTTATACATGGTACGTATCATGTGCTTTGCCTCAAAGAATGATTAACGATTCCGACAAAAATAGTGTCTTTTACAAAAAAAGAAATGTGGCCTCAAACCATCACTTCATTTAAATAAAGATGTCCATTTCTCGAGACAAAACCCATCCACTGCATGTAGAAGTTCCGATCATGCCATTTTAAGGTCACATTTGATTTTGGAAGAGAAGGAACAATCAGTAAACCAGCAAAAACTTAATGTTTTCTTTATTCTGTGCGTTTCAATTTGGTCAATAGTTAACTTCCTTTGTAGTCATTGATTTGTCTATCCACAGCTCGTCAGCTTACTATAATGAACCTTTCTTCGGAAACCCTGTTAATTTTACTGATTCTACCACTGATTACCATGTGTTCTGGCACCAGTAACAAGAGCAGCAAACCAGCCGACAACAAAGTAAGTCCCGTATGTTTAGTAGTGTTTGGGAAAGAGTGAAAAGTGATTAGGAAATACGTTTAGTTCCATTGCATTCTTTATGGCGAATTGACTGCGTCACTGACTGAAGCTTTTCCTTTTTCAACAATTTCCAGAAAGGGGGTAAAAACGTCAATTGCTAGTCACATGGTGTAAAACTGAGAAGAGATTGGATTTTTAAAGTGATATATTTTTTTGTGGTTGCATGACCTTTTCAGTAGAGAAATCCCCTCAAATATTTGTTTTCCTGTTTTTCTTCTGCAATTCATATTTTTAATTCCTAAAACCGTACCTGTCCATTGTGTTTACCAATATTTGATGGAGGGACTAAATGTTTGGTTGTTATATTTTTGTTTCCATCACAGTCTCTTTCACAGTGTTATGGCGGACAACCAGGGACAAATGGTATTCCTGGGATGCATGGCATGCCGGGATCTCCTGGGGCACCTGGCCGTGATGGACGTGACGGAACAAAAGGAGACCGGGGCAGTACGGGAAAGGCTGGGCCCCAAGGACCTCCTGGCCTTCAAGGAAACAAAGGTCCGAAGGGAGAGCCTGGTGTCCAGGGTCCTACAGGTCAAAAGGGGCAGCGAGGGGAGAAAGGCGAGAGTGAAAATACAGGGGCGTCTCAGCTTTCCTCGCATATGAACTGGAAAGAATGTACATGGAAGAGAGGAGACGGCAAAGACTCGGGAGTGATCCAAGTAATAATAACTCAACAGATATTGATCTTTGCAATTTTTGTCTTTAGCATTAAGAGGTTACTGACAAAGAGTTACTGGGACCGAGTGATTTAGCATAAGATTAGTGACAACTTTCTTAATCATTGAATTGTATCATTAACAGCCTTGAAAATGGTTTTTGAGTTTCAATGTAATTAAGTTTCCCATTTTTGTGGCGAAAGATAAATAGGTACAAGACAAACTAATTATTGGATGTTGTAACTACATTTACCCATAATGATCATTTTCTCTGGACAGAACTGCGAGTTCATGAAGAACTTCACAGACACTTCCCTCCATGTCTACTTTGCTGGTAACCTCAGGATTTATGGATGTGACGGCTGCTGTAGCCGTTGGTATTTCACCTTTAATGGCGCCGAGTGCAGCTCTCCTGGCCCCATCGAAGGCGCGTTTTACATGCGAACTGGGAAGAACCACGATCTTCATCGTCACCGCCATATTGAAGGTCACTGTAACAACATTCACAAAGGAAAGGTGCGAGTGGGTTTCTGGGTTGGAAGCTGCAACACTGGCCATAAGAATGCTGACGCGTACACAGGCTGGGCCACAATGTCTCGGATCTTCATCGAAGAGGTGTCAAAGGCTCAGCAGTAAACACGTCACACGTGATAAACTGGACTTTTTAGACAAATTAAAGAAAACTATTCTTGGAACTTGGAACTATTCTTGGAGCTATGTAGAAATGAAATGCCTATAAAAGATTTAAAACTTTAGAAATAAAGTCCAGGAAAGTACTCAGATATCTTTTGCATATATGAAGGATTCCATTGATTTCCACCGAGCACTTAATTGGCGGGGCAAATCAAATAGTTCCTTCCTTCCTAGAGGACAGAATGCCTCTTACGTTGAACTTCGTTTCTTGTTCATTTGGTGCACTTCAAATAATCTAACTGGAATAAACTAAACTACCCGTAACAGTTCTGCTGACCAAGTCAGTGTGAAAGTAGACATATTCGTACTCTTAAATGCAAAGTAAATGCTACTGAAGAGTACAACCACATACAATCTACTTATACATTTTCCAAGTTCTTGATGCTTTTCCATCAAAGTTAGGCTCGCTAGATGGAACTAGACTCCAAGAAATTTTTCTTTTTAATTTCCAGGAGGCCTTTACGCTTCAATCTCCCACAAAAAGACTATCGTGATTACCTTTCAGCGATTTCAGATAAAAAGGAAAAAATTTTGTTCGAAAGAACACTGTCATTTAAGTACAATAAAACAAAGTATTCATTTCGAAAATTACTACCAAATATGGTCACGAGTAATCTAAACAGAGACGAGGTTTGAGACAGGTCCTGCCTTATGCTCGCTTTGGATATGTAAAGCAGCTTTTCGGTGGAGAATAAGAAAAGTTAACTTTCCCCCGTTCCTGAACAAACGCTGTTTGCAACAGTGGTCGAGATATCAAGAGGAAAACACACATTGGTGTAATTTTTCACTTTAATTCGTTTTTACTGAGCTAAACTTTTACTGAGCTAAAGTAAAAATTCTAAGCTGACAACGATCTTGACAAAAAATCCGTCGGCTGAAAAGTCTAATGTTAAGACTTTAAACATGAAACAGTGCAAATTTTGAGGCAGATTAACACCCTTGGGACCATAAAATTAATAAAGATGTTCACTTCAAATATCTCTCCAAAGCAGTGTCAACATGGACTGTGTTGACTGTCTATCGTTAACGCCAAAGGTCAAACAAATTCGGTTTTTTTAAAGACTAAAATTTATAGATGAACTGGTATAGATCAAATTCCTGTGGATACAAAAAGAAAAGTGGAGAACCAAAGGATCTTTGGATCTGAATTCGTTATTTGATGCTCTTAATTTTAGATCATCTCCTCACAAAATCTGCAACGTAACAAGCGGGAAAACTAATCTGGGGATCCATAAATTAGCAAAAATCATGAAAGTAACCACTACAGTCTTCTCTCGGAGTAAATGTTTCTAATTATTTGCATCTACTCTTCTGATGCCCTTTCTTGAATTTAGAGTTTATAATAAAAACTTTTAAAGATTGCAAGCTTTTTAGGCCCACGGGTCTATAGCCAGAAAAGCCCTATGTCAGGTACGCAAGTAAGAAAGTAACACCAGTTCATGTAAGACCTCACGAACTGTGCCGGTCGCTATAAAGTTCAGAGGCTGAGGGTCGCTGGCTCTACACTTCTGGGTGACCTCTCTTTCTTTCCTATGTTTTTGCTTCGAAAAACTTTTTTTCCTCAAGTTTTCCTTTTTTTTCTACCAAATGCTATGACAAACAAGCCTTTAGATATTACGCGATGGTGCGATTTCCCATCATAGGCCTCAAATCAGACAGCGAACTCACTATTCGGGGAAAATCGGATAATTTGTCAAATAGTCGCAGGATTCGGGTAAAGGAAAAGATGATTCGAAATACTACTTTTAACAAGATTATATTTCTAGGGTTTAAAGGGTTAAATCTTGATAAACATATGAACTTGAAAGGTAATTTCCCTTTTGTTTCGGTTCTTGTTGTGTCTCTCTTTAAATGACTAAAATGCCCTCTAAATGGATTTTATAATCGCGACTCAAGAGGAAAGTTGGACCTTGAAAGTACGTGGAAGTTGAAAATGACATGCACTTTGGAGTCGTAATTTGCAAGTGACATACATCTTATGTGTGGCAATAGACGTTCCGAATATTCCCGGAGTTATGCACCATTCAATCCGTCAATCACGCTAAAACACAGAGTAAAATAGGTTCGTTACTGAGATTAGAAACAGCGTCCTATAAAAGTAGTCGTTAAGGAAATGCTGTGATCTGATTGGTACGAGATACAAGCCCCAATGCAGTGATCTGATCGGTGCGAGCTACATGTATACCACTCGAAACGCTAGCAGAGTTATTTTTTTTATAATTGTATAAAAAAACATAAGTAATAAATTCCCTTCTTCTCTCTGCTGTATGCGAATTGTTACCTTATTTTTTTAACCCTTTATAATCCAATGTGGCTGCATATTCTCCATACTGTTCTTTATGTATATCCTGTGATGCTGACGAAAACGATATGTTTGACAATCCAGACAATTTCATTTCATTTCGTTTTAAGATCATTTCCTTTACTCTGCTGACCTTAATGTTTGATTCAGGGGTGTACTGTGTGGAGAAATTAGGTGCTAGTAACTCTTAGGGGTTTGAAGTGTTAAATCTTATGCCCCATTCACACCAAAGCTTAAACATGTTTAAAAGCTGTTTTGTTAAACACGGTTTAATTTCTTTTTTCTTCATAGAAACTATTTAACCGAATATTTTTGACTTGAATGTAGCACATTGGAAATGCAAGTTAGCAAGTACTTGAATCCAATGGAAAATCAAGTTTTTCAGTTCTCTGTTTATAATTTTCATTCAATGAAAACCAGTTTAACAAAACATGTTTTGCTGGTGTGAATGGGGTATTAGTTAATCTTTTGAACTTGAAAAGTAGTTTTCCTCTTATCTCTGTTATTGCGACGCCTCACTTTTTTAGATTAAAATGCTCTTATATTTTGATTTTATATTCCTGTTTAAGAAGCAAGTTGTACCTTCCAAGGCGGCGGATGTTGAAAATAGCATTTTAAAGTCGAAACGGAAAAAAGGAAGATCGAAGGTTTACGTGTAGGTATTGATGAATGAAACAGCCGGGTTTCAAAAGTTCGCAGTCCGAGATTAGGTGTAGGAGTGTTTAAAAGTCGTAGGTCGTAAATTAGAGTCGGGGAGAGGAAGGATTCTGGGAACGAGGTTCACGAAAATGATATGTGCATGCAAAATAAGATTGTGATACTGACAAGGGAAAAGAATACCTCAACTGAGTAGTACAAAATCAGTTGTCAAACTACAGTGTTAGCTTGTGAAAAGGCTTGATCAACTATTTCACCTGTTCACGAATCGGCTTAAAGACACAAACACAGTCAACGCTGACAGGGCAGTAAGAATCGCATAAAGATCTTGTCGGGCGATTGTGAAGCAAGTTAGATAAGATAAAACTAGTATGGATTCCACAATCGGCCTTTCACGGCCTTTTTAAGAAAGGCCGTGAATGTTCCCGTTCGGGAAGCTGCAAAACCCTAGAACAAAAATGTAATTTTTTTCCCCCACGGTATCGGCGAAAACTTTTCATTCAACTACCTTTTTCCTTGTGTTTTTCACGTTACCAAGTTCCCACCTATAGAATAACTTCATCCATCAGTTTACAAACCACACACAACCCACAGTTCTTTTATTCACTCTGACGAAGGGCCGTGCTCGAAACTTCAGCTTTAAAAGCTCTTTACGGTGGCAAGTTTACAATATCAACTCAGTTGATAAAACTAAATCATCTTGTAAAACACCCTCACCAACACAGTACCACAGTTTCAACTTTCGTCATCGTCATCGTCATCGTCATCGTCAAGTCTTTATGCTGACTCCTTACATGATGTTACAAGGACGTAGAATAGCTAGTGTAATATTTTCGCGTTTTACAGGCCAACGGAGACAAGTTCCAGGCCTCCGTTCGTATAAAATATACAGGCTAAGAAGAGAGAGTAAGATAATTTTGGATTTATCAAGTGAGTTGATAGTTTAAATTTGCCTCTGCAAAAAGTTTCAAAGCTGACGTTTCGAGCGTTAGTCCTTTGCGCTTTAGCTTTGACGAGGTGCTAACGCTCGAAAGGTCAGCTTTGAAACTCTTTACGGTGGCCAATTTGGATTACCAATTGGATTACCGATTGATACTGACGCAGCGCAGAAATTTTTTTTGGGATCACTTGGTTCACTTTCTGAAGGAGCTTAGAAACCAGGCTCAACTCAGTAGCCAAGCACTGAATTTGTGCCCAAGCCTTTTCTTGCTTGCGTGACCTTTTTTGTCACACTAGAGAATACAAGGAACTTCGGCGAGTAGTAAACACAAGCTCAAATTTTTAAAGCAGCAAAGAAGAAAACTTTTTGAGACTGGAAGGTAAGTAAGTAAGTATTTTAGTGTTTTACAACCTAAATTTAGTGTTTCCTTTTGTAATTTTACAACGTACAGTAAATTGTCAAATCAATAACTCGAAAAGCTTACAGCTAAAATTTAACTCTTTATTAATAACCTTATACTTTCTTGATCTGATATCTCAATTAGCGATAACACCAGAAGTAATTTGCTTTTGTGGTATATACTATAAGTATACCTTACTTGTTGAAGTACGTTGTCATGAAATAATGCACTTAGCAACAATTAATCTGATTACACAAAGCTGAGTCAATATTAGGTACCAAACAAAAAAAATGCATTCTTGGCTCATTTGCATCAAGCCACCTAATATAATTCACAAAGATTATTTGACACTGGATTCTCATACAAATACTGCAAGGTCATGCCTGCCTACCAACCCATCAAGGTGGTGTTGAAAACTGCAGTAAGGTCTATTGAATATAGTTAGAGTACTGAATTTCACTTTATGACTTACAATTACAGAATATGGGGCTTTTTTATGATTAGGTACAAAACAAAAAAAAGCTTTCTTGGCTCATTTGGATCAAGCCACCTAATATAATGCAATCAATGTCTTGTTTTCTGTATCGTGAGTCATTGCTCAGTTGGAATTGATATTTAAATCTTAATTATAATCATTTAAATCCAACTGAATGTATTTCTTTCATTACTTTTCCACTAACTGCCAAACCAGCAAGCCTTGAGGCATTAAACTGTGAGGACTTTAAAAAAGGCCCTATATTGTTTACACGTAGCTTCTTTGGGGGAGGGGAGTGGTAAAGTTTCAAATTTGGTTAAGAGTATGTAAAACAATAATAATAATGATAATAATGTTAATAATAATAATAATTCTTTTTTTTCCATCCTTTGTTGCAAATGCATCTGACCCAAAGTCATTATTGGAACATACCAGAATAGCCTTTTTATTAATGCAAGGCCTCAGTGGTGCACAGATATGATATGAAAATAATTTTCTCTTGTGTGAGGCATCAGTCAATTTAGGAATTACCAAGTGTAAAATTTCAAGTCAATATGGTCCAGAAACTACTCATTTTTGCAGAGGGTGGAGCTGGGAGGGGTGGAGGGGTCGAAATTATTAGGTTTGCGTACCGTTTTCACTCTTTGCACCCTGAGCACTCATACACGCACACTTCAGATGGATGCTCAACACAAAAAATTATCAAGCAAATGACGTGCAAAGCTTCCAAGGTTAATATAAATTTACCGCTATAAAGAGTGAAAAGGCCTTACAGATTTTACGCGTAGCTTCTTTAAAGGTACAACTTCCTATAACGTTTTAACAAGATTATCAAGTTGTCAAATACGTATTTTCATATGATTGATACCAACTGCTTTATTAAGTCGAGATATGCTTTATGTCAAGAATAAATAAGCGGATTACTACACTTACGACGAATTTTGTGGTCCGTTAAAAAAAGTACTTGGTTCAGTTACGTAGTTCACCGAAAGGTCAATTTTTTTTGCCTGCTAGGATTTCTTTTAACATTGAATACATTTTCGAGACCTGTACTCGACGAGGTGCACTTCTTGCGATTGTTCTGCAATCTAGCGAGTCCTTCGGAAAAACGTCACCGAGAGCAGAGTTAAGACACTATTCAGAAGCAAGTATTTTCTAGGTTTGAAATTCCCTTCGGTTCCATTTAACCGGGAGTAGAGTTTAGAATTCTCGTAGAAAGCGTATTTTAGCCAAAGGCAGAAGATTCGTATTTGAACGGAGCACAGCGAGATAAGGTAATATTCTTTCACGCGAAAATGACAGAAAAAATAGGGTTAACAGATAACTTCCCATTTGTTTTTTCTCGCGCAAGTAACAAAAATGTTCCCTTCCCTGTCCCCATCCATCGCACTTCAACCAGTCGGGGGAGGTGAGTATAGAATTGTAAACAAATCATCAGAAGGCTTGGTTACCTAATTGAGCCTGGTATCTAAGCTCCTTCAGAAAGTGATCCCAAAAAAATTTCTGCTGACGCAGCACCGCAGCTCTTTCTCGCTCCAGACTCTGCGCGTTCTCATCTACAATGCACTTCGGATTATGGAAAGTGGGAGAGAGGCATCAGCTCTAAAAATCGCTTTTCATGCCCCTGCGGATGTTTATAACACTGATTATTGGTAGATTTTGAAGTGTGTGTTTCTTAGTCCATTGTCTTCACTTAGGATACGGACAAATCGGTGTTCAATCGATTCTCGTTATTCACAAGACCACTCGAAATAGCTGTGCATGTGTCCGATACGTCTGCCATGTGCCAAAATTGAGCTGTTTTAATCGTTTGATACCAGCCCAGCTGCCTCATGAATCGTAAAAAAACCATCGATTACACCGTCACTCGAAGGCCCAGAGAGCGCGACTCATCCAAGTTTCGCCAAGACAGTTCCAGTAGAGAAGCGAGAGGTCGTGATGATGGCAATAGCCGTAGTAAGACTCCATTTTGGTCGAACAACGACAAAAATTTGGTAAGTAAACAAATTCGTAATGAGTAAAGTCCTCTTTTAACTTTTGAAATAAATCACTGAGACATCTTTTTACGAAGGGATTTTTAAGTATTAAATGATGATTGGTATGTGGTAAATTTTAGACTGGGTCATAACATCGTTATCACAGGAAACGATTTGTTTTGACTTCATCTACCTCCACAACACAACCTTCTCTGCTACGTATTTAGCAGCTTTATACTCCTAAGTTTTACCCTGACATCCATATCAATACCTTTTATACATCTATGACCACTTAATGGAAGGTGATCTTAAATAGAATCTGTTTCCCCTGAAATTGTAGCCTTCTTCTATCGTTGGCTCAGTCAGTGAAGTCTGAACACTACTGCATGAAGTTGATTACTCGAAGTCTGAACATTCTCCCACATGTATTCTTCATGACAATGTAGACATCATAACTTAACATTTATTCCTCGTGCCAAAAAATATCCAATCTAATTTTTTCTGAAGTTCACCCCAAGCTTGCTTGGAACCAAAGTCATGAAAAACATATCAACTTTCTCGGAGGGTGTTTAACCTTCTCTACATCATTCAGCCTTAATTTAGCTTGTCAGATCTCAAGCTTATTCTCCAAAAATAACTATAATACTCTCCCTTCCTAGCTAGTTCTGAAAATTTGATGTTTCAGCTAAACTGCCACCCTACTATTTATATAAGTATCCTCTAAAGTGTAAGCAAGACAGAGGTATTTGGGGAAATCATGGGGTAATTATTGATCTGTAATGCAGTCTCCATCCAAGCATATTTCTTTGGTTTTTTTTTCTGTATTGAAGGAAACTGAAACAGAGCTTACCTTTAAAAAAACACAACCAAGAATGTAACAACTTTGCAACCAAAAGCATTGTGGGATTGAGTCTTCCACAGTGAAAGATGTGTACAGCTTTTCCTTCCAGAAAAATTCTTCTGCAACTGTAGTTTAGTTTAAATCCCAACATCTGATTTTCCAAATTAAATAATAGTGTATAAAACCCAATTATTGTATGGTCATATTTCAAACTTAGATTGATTACGCCAGTAGGAAAATGAAAGCTATTAGATTTGTGATGTGCGAAAATCTTTCGTGTTCTCCTTTTCAAGTGGTAACCAGTAAAATTTGCTGCCTGTAGCACCTCTTATTACTACCTGAAATCAATTGGAATTCTTGAAAATTCAACAGGTATGAGGATTGCTCTACTGGTTTGATAATTTATTTTACCTGTTGTGCTTAAAATAGGGGAGAACACTGGACTTTTGTATAGTTCAGAAACTGAACAATAGTGAGTTAGTTGGCCAAGGCCTCTTCAATGTCAGCTATATCAATGAAATTCACTTTCTTTGTGATTTTGTTTCTCTGTTTTTATTTTGTTTGCATCAAAAAAAAAAAAGAAATACCAAGTTTCCCTAATAATCCCTCTCAATATTTTGAGAAATTATAGAAAAAAGCTTGAAGGTATATACCATCTGGTACTCTGCTAAATTTGTTGTCAGTTGTCCCAAGTTCAACTCCTTGACTGTACTTTGTATGTGGCCAACTGGTCTGTCTCCTCCCAGTTGGGGTTTTTAAACATTGTGTTTCTTGGCAAAGTTTCAGTTTGTTGATATTGGCCCTGAAAAGTCCTGTGGGGAAGTGGCTGACCGAGTAAACATAAATTCATACAATCACACTTATATTCAGTATATACATACATGCACAAGTCAAGTTATCAAGTCAACTTACCCTTTTATGTTTGGGTGTCAAAATGACAAAGGAAAATGTAATGTCTGTTGTCTGCTTTTTTATAAATAAAGTGGCAGTAGAAATAGGTTTTCCATGCTTATTTGAGGGGGGAGGTGCTTGTTTGACACTATGACCAAGGGGGGTGGATTGGTTTTGGGGGAAGAGTGCTTATAAGAGGGTAGGGGCTTATTTATGTAAATACATTATGTAATATTTCAAATCTTTGGTTTAAAAAAAGAATAACTCAAAATGTTTTTAAAGATAATGAAAAATTCCAAGAAAATTCTGTCACCTTCAGGTATCAGACCAATGACCCTCTTACTTGCCAAGGTATCCAGTCAACTCGCTGACGGACCAACTCGCCGACGCCAACTCGCCGACGTATAAAATCGAGTAGAGACGTCGGCGAGTTGGTCCTCAGTCCAATACAACTTATTAGAAGTTAAACATACAAAAAGAGTAAATGATATTTTACGAGTTATTGTGCGACAACAACACCATAAAGACTCATCATGTCAATCGCTCAGATTTTTTAAAGAAAACTTGGCTTTCTAGACAAGATATTTAGTAAAAAGCAATTCTTTCTATTTGCAACAAAGTTTAAAAGGATCTCAAGGTGAATAAAGCGAAGTAAACATCGCCAATGAACAAAATTGGCTGTAGACGAGAATGAGTTGTGTGACAACAACACCGTAAAGACTCATCATGTCAATCGCTCAGATTTTTTCAAGAAAACTTGGCTTTCTAGACAAGATCTTTAGTAAAAAACACATCTTTTTATTTGCAACAAAGTTTATAAGGATCTCAAGGCGAATAAAGCAAAGTAAACATCGCCAATGACTTTATCCGCTTCAGATGCGAATGAGATAACTCGTTCGCGTCTTAAGCTGTTATAGTCATTGGTGATGTTCACCAATGTTCACCAATGATTAAGCTTCTGTTTGATGTTCGCCAATGTTCACCAGTGTTTTTTTACTAAATATCGTTTACTTTTCTGTATGTTTAACTTCTAATAAGTTATATTGGACTGAAGACCAATTCGCCGACGTTTCTACTCAATTTTATACGTCGGCGAGTTGGCGTCGGCGAGTTGGTCCGTCGGCGAGTTGGCGTCGGCGAGTTGGTCTGTCGGCGAGTTGACCGTAATTCCTTGCCAATGGGTAAATGTTTAAAATGTGGCTCTCCACAAATAACTAAATTCATTTTGAATTACGTATGAACAATACCTCTGTGCAGTTTAGAGCTAAGTATTGTTCTGACAGCAATAAGCCAGTACATGTACAAAGAAATTGACTCATCTTTCTCGTGCATTCTAAGAACGTCATATGCATGATACATCATGGCATAAATTTTGATATTGCGAAGAAGAAAGGCTGTCAAAGTGTTAAAACAATGAATATGAGCTATTTCAGAAGAGCGTTTTTTTTTTTCGGCAAAACATGAAAGAAGATGTGGTTATAGATATATATATATATATATTCAGCAAAACATGAAAGAAGATGTGGTTATATATATATATATATATATATTGATGCTCATGGTGTTCAAGGAACCAAATATAACAGCCAAGTAAACAAGAAATCCAGTTCCAGGACTCCAACTACACCTGTAGCAATGATTTCATTGGCTGTCATCTGTGTAACATACTTTACAAGGTAATGTATTAAAGTTGGTTTTTAAAATTGTTTTAGTATGGATCAGACTGACCTTGTTCATGTTGGCATGGTAATAGTTGGATTAAAATAGTTACTATTTATTATATAGCAAGGTAGTCTTAAACCCTTTAACTCTCACAAGTGATAATATGAAAATTCTTCCACTAATATCCTTATGTTATCAAGCAAACAGCTTATGAGAATATTCAAACTTATCAGGTAGAGGTTGTTGTCTTGATCTGACACCAAATTCTCATAACTAATTTTCATGGATATGTATAGCAGCTGAAGGGGAGAATTACATGTACTAATCAGATCTTGGGAGTTATGGGGTCAAGTAAATTAGAGCATTCTGACTGGTTCTAACAAGGGCGGGATAAAGGCTGGCAAATTGAAAGTAAGCAAGTTTGTTTGGGCCAATATTCCCCTCTATGGCCCTCACATTCAGTTATTAAGTAGTTATTAATTTTTCTGAAGCATTTCAGCAGGTTAGAATCTTAAATCCTGAAACAATATTGGCTACTTGTGTGCTCATAAGCGGCCATTTGCACCACAGAAAAAAAGAAACTCAGTAGAAAATATACATGAGTTATTTTCTGGTCTAAAATGGTAGATGTATAGGAAAAAATTAAGCCTTTGGGGACAGTTTTCTCCTTAACAAATCTCCTGCCTGATAATCAACATTTTTTAATGAATTTAGTGATCCAATGAAATCCTGTTGTCCAAGCACAAGGAAGATACCAACATGTGCCTACATTGGTAGCTCTCCATGTTGAAAATATCATGTACTCTTTAAGCTATAGGGCTCATATGGCCAGTTTATGTGGTGCTTATCTATTAGCTTTATTTTTTGATGTTTGTTCTGATCTGAGCTTGGAAACCTCTTCCAACATTGTTTTATAATTCTAATAGTTGTGTACAGGAAGTTTGACATGCAACCTTTCTTGGTGGTGATCAAGCAGAACTGTCTTTTTGTGAGTGCTGCATTAAGTTAGGTTCGAATATGAGACATTGAGAGAGTACTGATATGCAAGTTAATCTCCTTCTTTTCTTGACACTAACTAAACATATATATTGTATGTTTCAGTTACTCCAGCAAAAGGTCAGACTTAATTGTCTGCTCTAAATCAATGGCTATACCAATGAACCTTTTGGGGTTTTTGGTCAAAATGTGTTTCTCTCTTACTGAGTTTGCACCAAAATTTCCAGAGATACCTCTGGAGTTGCATCCTAACTGGGCAATTGGCAGTATATTATCTTTAACTTTAGCATCTAATATCAAGAGGTGTATCATGCAAGGTAGATATAGTATTCAAATACTTTGCCGCATTCTTCAAGCTCATGTTGTTTTTTTAAATGCAATTCATAATATATATAAAAATGAAGGGAAAGATCGGGAAAAAAAGATAAATTACACTCAATTGAAAGTATGTAAAAAAAAACAAACATTAGCAAAACAGCAATAATGAGAGGGGAATGCTTACTGGTCATAGTATTACATATAGATTACCTTTCAAGTGATTTTCAAGGTGATTTCTTCTGCCTTTCCCTTAAGTGAAAAACATAGATTACTTCTCATGGGTACACTTTGGCAACATGTACTGTGGTGGTAAGAGTACCTTAAAAGAAGGCCATCTTCTTCTTCATATCCTTGATGCTTTATATTTAGAATTTTGATGTTCAGGCGCCCCTTAAGTTACATCATTTGTCTTTGTTTAAACAAAACTTTTTGTTGCTTTGTGAAATTTATGTTTGGTATGGAGATTGCCTTACAAAGGCTTAAAAGGTGATACCTGCAACAAAGTTCCGGTTTGATACTGAACAGAAAAATAGCTTAAAAGATATTTCAAAAAGAATTTCAATCTTGACCCAAGGTGTGGTTTGCATATGCAGCCAGATCTTGCGAATTGACCAAAGAAAACAAGAAAAAAGTGATGAAGCTTGACTGCATGGTTTCTTCATTCCACTGATATCCTTTACACATTTATACAATTTAATCTCCAGTTCAGCACAAAACTGAAATCTAAAATACTTTTGAAATCTACTTATTTTTTCAGGGAAGTCAAGCTAACTTCAGTACTTTGCAGATGTTAGACAAATTGAAGGACACGGAAACAGGGAGCCTTTATGACAGAAAAAGGAATCCTTTGCTGAGTAACTTACAGAAGGAGATTGTCCCGTCTCAGCATGACAGAGACAAATTTGGAACATTTGGGAAAGTAATTGGAAGTGGCTTCTCAAGAGGTCAAAGCAGAGGACCAATTATTGATGTATTTTCAGAAGATTCGCACAGTTTATACAGTGATTCAAACTCTAAACGAACAGATTCTAGCAACAGTAAAGACTGGCAACACAGAAGAACGGACAAAAATGACTCACAAAGGAAAAGAAGCCACAGTCCTGATGATGAGTTGTTGTCTTCGAATTGGAGAATTCGAGGAGACACAACAACTAAACGCAGTCATAGTAAAAGCTTAAACCCAAGCAGTCAATGCATTGATGAAGATGTTGATCTAAGAAGTGTGCTGAAACAGTTCCAAAAGAGTAGATGGGAGGACAACAGTGAAGATGTTTTTGATTCAGGTTTCAGTGCAGATTACAGAGATGATGACCATCAAAGAAAAAAAGGTCCCTATGATGACAGTGTGAAAGGAAGTGACTGTAGAGAACCCAGGGACTCTTTAAGAACCAGGTAGCAGTGTAGTATAAGGGTTAGATGAGGAAGATATGATAATGGGTAAAGGTTTGGAACAGATCAGATCAGCTATTTAACAACATTGGGGTTTAAAGATCACACATGTATAAATGAAATTTGGAATTTTTCTATGAACAATTACCATTATCTTGAGTATCAAAACTGCTAGATGAAAAGTATCTTCCTGTTTTCTTTTTCTGTTTTCTCGAGTGGCTTGTGTAGCTTACCTCAAATTAAATTTTTGCCCTAAAAGTTGTTATAATTTTCCTCTTTAAACCATCTCTCGTACCTTTTTTGTCCCATCTCTCTTAATAAATTTGATTTTGTTTTCTCTTGGGGCCCCAGTGATGACAGAGACCACAGGGAATCAAGATATGGCAGGACCAAACATGGAAGTCTGAATGATAGAAATGCAGAAGTATGGTTGGACACTTACAAAGAGTCATCAGCACTTGAGTTATCAAGTTTGAGCTCTGATGCTTTGAGAGACCTTCCAATATCAGAGCTTGCTCGAAAGGTAACTCAGAAGTACAAAACTGGCTTTGAGCTGGGAAGGCCATTCTTTGGATTGCAATCAGAAGGCCAAGATAAGGAGAGAGGTACAAGTAATTATCATCCCATTGAACATTGGGAAACTTTTTTGATAAGTGGTGAGGTTTTATGCTGGATAAATTATAGAAGTGAGCAATACATGTACTATTGGGAAATTTCCAGTGATACTTGTCCTTATATATAATTTACTGCTTTTCTGGACCTATCATGCTATTTGCATGCTAATTTTTAACAAGTAGTGCCTCTTTTTTGCAGCAATACAGTCTGTTTATCTTGATTTATTGACCTTTTTCAAAACAAGGAATTAAACATGAAAGTAGCTGAAGATCAAATGCAGCATGCTTAATAGTATCTATTTCATGTTATTAGGTTGGGAAAATCGAAACTTTGATGTTTCAAAGGCACCTGAAAGGTGGAAACCATCCTTGGATGCTCTAAATGACCATGGATCAGAATCATATGGTAGGACTATGGACAGCCGAAGCATTACGCAGACACAGAGGAACTACTCAGGAAAGCATTCCAACAGCAGCAACCTATCAAAATCTAAAGCTGGTGAAGAGTATATGTCAAAGAACATTTTTGAGTATGAAGACCACAAGGCAGACAGCAGTAGACAAAAAGGCAATTCAAAAATGGTAGCTCAGTCTTTTAAAAGTAGCACTTCAACATCACACACAGTTTTCAGCCAAAAGACTTTGAAAGGTTCGGCCTCATCCATGCTGAATTCAAGGCAAAAACCTCAGTTTCCATCTGGATTTTTGCCAAGGCAGTTGCAAACACCAGTTGGTAAAAATGGTAAGAATGTGGAAGTTGGCAAAGGTAAAGGACTGGATGACCCATCTTCATTTCCACACAAAAGTGGTTACTATCCAAGGAACACAACAGAAATATCAAGGTCACGCAGCAGAAGTTCTGAGGGAGACGATTTTACCAAAGACCTTGGGAGTAGCATAAGTGGCTCAAAAAGAGAGGTCAGACCTCCTTCCAAGGGGAAATTTACAAACCAGAATTGGTTAAGTTTGGACAGTAATGTAAAACAATCCACAGGAAAAGGTACTTCAAAAGGCACTAAGCAGCAGAGTGCAGAACAGGGTAGCATGCATTCAAACAGCAACAGTGGTAGAGGAGGCTTTAAACCTAGTGGTAGAGGAAATTTGCAAACCAAGAAGGGTGGAAGAGGTACTTCATTCAGTCCTCGAGGCAGAGGAAGGGGTGCAAAGGGTAGGGGCAGTATTAATAGTAATAAAGGAAGAGGCACTATGAGTTTAAGAGGAAGAGGATCAGCAGTGCGTGGAAGAGGCAGAGGAGTCAGTCAGCCGCCGGTAGGTGCTACGGTCAGAAACATATTCCGAAGAAGTAGATCTGTCTCCCCTGTGGGAAGCAAATTTCGAAGATCTTCCAGGTCTCCAAACAGTCCAAAACAAGACAAAAAAAGGAGGAATGAAAGAAGTAAAGAAAAAAGAAGTAGAAGCCGAAGCAGCAGTTTTTGCAGCACCTCTAGCAGTCACAGTTGCAGTACAAGTTCCAGTTGGTGCAGTGTTAGTCTTGACAGTCTGTCAGGGAAAGGTGATGGAGACAGGAAAAGACATCATAAACATAAGATGCACAGTTATGAGATGAAAGAAAAGAGTACAGTTAAATCAGTGGAGAAGTTAAAAAATGATATAAAAACTATGGAAAAGCAGCTTGAACAAAAATATTCCAGGTCTTTTGGTGAGAAGAAAACAGAAGGTCCTGATTGTAAATTTGATGCAGAGACTGTAAAGGGAAAGCCAAAAGTAAACATCAAAGATGAGGACAAATGGTTTGAGCAAAAAACAATCAAAACTGCTCTTGAAAAGGGAAAGGAAGACTCTAAGGGTACATTTGACTTTAAAACTCTGAGGGAAGGGTCACAGTTAAACAATAAAGAGGAGAAGAAAGATATAAAAACTAGAGAGAGACACAATGGGAAGAATGTGCCTGTTGTTAAAGAAGAAAAGGGGATCAAAGAACAACAAGGTAAAGATTTCAAAGATGTCAAGAGGGAAGGAAAGAAAAAGACAGACAATGTGAGAGAGGTAATTTTCAAACGAGACAAGGAGAAAGAGTCACCAAAAATTACAAATAAAAATGGAGAGTCTCCAGTTCGTGAGGTGAAGATTGTAAATGAAGTGAAGAACAGAAAGGATAAAGTTCCTGATGAGAAATTAGGTTCAAAGATAGAGCTCAATACTCTAAAGATAACAATTGATCAAGTTAAAAAGAGGCCTGATTCCAAGAAAGACATAGGTGAGGAAAAACTTTTGAATGAAGGAAAAAGGTCTTCTAAGTCACCACCTGGAAAACAGAAGAAAAAAGAAAAAGAGAAAGTAAAGGCAAAGAAGGCAAAGAAGAAAGCCAAGAAAAGAAAGCACAACAGGGATAGTGAAGAATCAGGTGATGAATCAGTATGTAGTGGTACTTCTGGCCAAGATGATTCTTCTTCTTGCATATCACAGAAAGGTCACTCTGATGAACGGATTGTAGAGGTTTCCTCATCAGTAGGTTTTGATACCAATGCAATTGCAGTGCACTATGCTAAAAGAGAAAAAGCAAAGTATGGTAAAGGAAAAGTCAGGAACAATCTAATTTCTGTTCCTGTTTCAGAAGGAGCAGATATTGCACAAGAGAGGAAGATCCTTCCAAAAGAAGGATCACAATGGCTAAATGAGCAACAGCATGGTTATACATTGACTAATGAAGGACAACATAGCATCAGTAGTGATGTCCCTTGTACTGAAATGTTGTTTCCTAATGAAGGTACATTTTATGAAGGATACACTGAAAGTGCTGTTGGTGATCAAGACTATACCACTATGTATCAGGAAAGTGAGAATCCCAGCCAGGTGTGGCCATCAGAGCATGCAGAGGGTGATGACCCTAACAACTACTATTATGAAGAAGGAGCAGAGGGTGAAGGTTATGAGCAAGAGTACTATTCCTACGTTGAAGAGGGCGACTGTCAGACTGGTGATCTAGGAGACAATCAGGAGTGGTTTGAAGGTGAATATCCACAGGAAGGTGCAGAAGGGGAAGTTTATGGTGGATATGAAGGGGAATATTACCTTGGGGAAGATGGACTCTATTACCCTGTTGAAGGTGAGGAGTACCAGGAGTACCAGGAATACCAGGGAGAGTATGCAGAGGGTGGAACAGATGGGCATGGTTTTGATCCAGAGCAGGGTGGTACCTACACTGAAGGTGACTACCAGTATGCTGAAGAAAGTGGTGTGTGGCAGCATTATGAGGAAGGGGCAGTTTACCATGATGAGGAAGCTTGGAATCAGGGTGAAATAGAGGGACATTGGCAAGAGGAGTACCAGGAAGGTTATCATGGAACTGACTGTGAATGGGGCACCGAGTACTCTCAAGAATATGATGCTGGTGCACAAGGGTATAATGTTGAGGGGGCTGAGGTTTTGCCTGAAGAGGGCTGTAGTACAAGTGAAGGATATGATCACCAGTTGGCAACAGAGCAACAGTACATGGAGGAAGGTCCTGTCCATGAGGAAGGCTACCATGTTGAAGATGGCTTGGAATCTCAGCAACAAGGGAAGCTAGTAACATCTGCACATCATGAAGATGCACATCATGAAGAGCCTCCAACATTAAAAGAAGACATGGCTACTGCTCCAGCTGTGAAGGATGTTCAACAAAGCAAACCACTTAAGTCTATCCTCAAAAAGAGCAAGCAACTTGCAAACGATGGAAAAGGGACAAAACTAGTCAGTGAACGCCTTTCTCAAATGAAAAGACAGTCAGCACACACAACAGGTGTACTTCAAAAAAGTAGTGCATCTTCTTCATCTGTCCAATCTGCCCAATCAGTTGATAAACAAGAGGAGAGTCCAGACCAAATAGCTACAGCAAGTGCTCAGTCTGAGGCACAACGCTATCGTGAAATGGAAGAGGCCATTTTGTCTTCACAACCTAAAGATGCAGTTGGTACAGAATATGTGATACGAGTCCATGGAAGTGGGACAGCAAATTTCTACTGTAAACTTTGCCAGTGTCACTTTAATACACTGACAGCTAAAAACTTACATATAAAAGGAATGAAACATATAGAGCTCTATATCCGCTTAAAGTCTTCACTATTACAATCTGTCATAAAGGACACCAAGGTGAAAGCTGCTAAAAGACCTCCAGATGATGATCCATCAACAACACAAAAAATTCCACGGCGATTTTAACATGGTATAGTAAGCACTTTTTAATTTTTTCTCCTCTGTTATTCTTGCTCCTTTTTTGAGTTAATTTGTTGTTTGGGGCAAGTTTTTGTAATTTTATAACTTTGGATAAATTACCAGGTTCTTTTACACAAAATTGACCTATCTAACTACAGAAAAATAGTGGTTTCCATATAAATTATGCATAATTTTTGGTTGCTTTGGTCCAAAGCATTGATTAGTTTGGTTGAATAAAGTTGGATTCCTTTTTTGTCTCCCACAGTGTGAATGACTAATTTTGTTAAAATGGGACTGTAATGAGGCTCTAGTGTTTTGCATTGTTTAAAACCAATCACCATGCTTACATCTGTTTTTGTTTGTGTTGTAGACTTTTTGTAATACAAATGGCAACAAGACACTACATGAGGCCAGAGATGCAACTGGAAAATATTTTCATTTGTTTTTCTTGCCAGGAAAGAAAAACAGACATTACTAATGGTGCATATTTAACTACATCTAGTGTGAGTTGTGAAAAATGGATATGAATTCTTAAGAAAATTATAGAGACTTGTAGATTGTAGTGTTAGCTGGTGTTCCTAAATTAAATATAACTTTTGTAAGGAAATGGAGATTGATGCTTGTCAGATGAATATTGTTTTCTCAGGCCCTTTTCTATTCATATTTTTACATAAATGTATTTATTTTAAAAAATACTTTGAAGCATTTCAGGAAAGGAGGTTATCCCCCTTGGTTTTCACCACTAACAGGTTGATAAAAAGTGTCTCTTTTCACTTTTTTATAATATGGAAAACTTAATATATTTCAATCTATCAAAGAGCCTCATATGTGGAAGAAAATGTCCAAGTGGAATTTAAAGCCACAGGCAGGGATTATTTATTCTTAAGACTTACCATCAGTGTTTAACTTGTTATTAATTAAGGTCATCCAGAGCTTTCAACATAATGGTTGTTTACTTGCGGTCATTGAAAAAGAGATAGACCTATTGTAGATTTGTTGGTCATTCTTAGAAAATAATCATCCCACATTGATTCAGCATCAAGAATTGTGTGAAGTAGGTTTCAAATGATTTTCTCTATGAGAATATTTGTACTGTCAAGAACACCTCATTCTGTAGAAAGGCATGTGAGGTACTAGTACTTGATTATTTCCAGTGATAATAGTTTTGTTTGTCTGAAGATTCCCAGTATTTGGTGAATAAAAAGGTGATTTAAAAGGTTAAATTTTTGGATAAGCTGGCTGATATCTTGGAGTGCAAAAAAAAACTTAATTAGATTGCTGGACATAAATTGGCCTTCTGTTGTTTTTATAGGAGGGTGGTTGTATTCAGTAGACAAGATCACAACCAACAAATGTACTCTGAATTTCTCCATTCTGGGTAATTATTCTCTCAAGTGTTATGTAATCTGAAAAGTGTAATTTTAAACTGGGGTTGCTTTGCACCAAACTGACTACAAGGTTTTGACTCATTATTGTACTTATCAGACTGTTTTTGGGGATGGAGGAAAATTCTGGGTGTGTATCCAACCTGCCTGTTATAAATAGTAACCCATATGTACTGCTTTTACACCTGTCCTTAACACTCTCAACCAAAGGTAGTTTTGTCTAGCACTTTTTCTTAGAAGTATCCTGGAAAGCTTAAGTTAAACATTTTATACGACAAACAAAGATAAAATTAAGTTCATCTCTTCTTTGTTACCTAGTCATTACTATGATTACAGTATGGCTCTAAAACTTAGTATACTTGTTGAATAGTCATGAACAACAGATTTTATGTTTTGCCTCCATTCTGAAATTATGTAATAAATCAATAAGTTTGGAACTGGTTTTGTTTTGTTTTTGGTGTTTGTGTGGTTGTGACCCTCTGCCTTTTGAATGTTTCCAAAAAATTTGATAGTTGAAAATTTGTTGAGAAGGGGTGAGCTTTTATGCTATGATTACTTGAAGGAACAGAAAATGTTGAATCATTTTCTCATGAAACTGAAGGTTGTTGCATCTATAGAGCATGCCATGGTGTATTGATGAAAATAAAGGAATTGGTGATAATTTTTGCAAACTTCAGTCATAGGCTTAAATAAGTGGGAAGGATGTTCATACCCCTGGCTTTAATCTGTTTAAAAAATGGATATCCTTGAGGAGACATGAAAGTAAGACTTATTTACCTCTCTAAGAGGATAAGTGATGTAGGTGGAAAACATTTGCATAGAGCAATTTTTGGGGGTAAAAATGGTGAAAATTACACATTGCTCTAGAAAAGGTTGTATCAGCTGATGAGGTCAATCCTAAGACTAGGTCACTCCAGAGCTATGAGTTGAATTAACAAAAAATTTGTAGCCAGATACCTTGTTAGAGAGATAAGTTTTCACTCCATGAAACACATGCAGAGATACCCATTATGGACAATTCTAACACTTTCTAACACTTGAAGGAGAGTTAGTTACAAAAATTAATGTAACAAAAGGAAAATTGAGTGAAGCAGCTCATGCTAGTAACTGTGGAACCTCCCTTTCCATCAAATCAGGGGTAACCGGAAGCAACAAAAAGTAGTGAATTTACTTGTAAGAAAGACCAATCAAGTGCTTATTAATGGGGGCACTTAAGAATCTATGTCTTTAAAAAGTACATCAATTGGAATATCCAGTGTCTATGGTTCAGTGCCTGTCAGTGATGAAAATCTTCCTGGAGTTTTCCTTAACTCACACTTGAATTTGACTTGGCCTTGGAACTTAGTTACTGGGATTAACACACACTTAAATTTGACTTGGACTCAGAACTGACTCAGGATGTCATTCAGCTCATGCTTATGATTAACTCAGTGAATTTATTTACCTCATACAAAATTATATTCCTTTATTGTATGTGGTTCTATTTTAGGTTGATGTTTCATGATCAGCCCATCATTTCTTTGGTTTCTGAATGACACTGAAGCCTTGAACCAAGTCTTGCCTGGATAACTAATCAGACTTTTGAAAGAAAAGTGATACTGCAGTGTTGAACTGTTCAAAGGGACAACCACAACAGAAGTTGGAGGATGTGAACATGGTGTGATCATTTCTTCACGGACTAGCTTCACATAAGGAATTCTGAAGAACTGGACTTAACTAGCTGACTTGAAGTCAATTTAATTGGGTTTCTTATTTTTGTTTTTCTGTGCAATAACTTACCTCTACTTCAAACCTCCATGTGCCATGACATGTTGGGTTATGTGCCTTTTTTAAGCTTTAGTGGGTCAGAGTGTGATGCAGGTCATAGTGTTCATATTACTACTTTGCCAACAGGTGGCCAATTTTATAACATGATACTGATGTTCTTGACAGTAAGGGAGCACATACACTAAAAGGGAAACAGAATACCACTATCCTCAGTTGAGCTTGCTCTTTCAATCCTCTTGGTGAATCAAGGCCTACTGAAATATTTTGAACTCAAACATTTGGTTCTGGAGTCTACACAGTACTTCCTAGTTCAGCTAAGAACCTTTGCAATGACTAACCCTTCCACATCAAATGGTGCCAGCCAATAGCTCCATTTTGACATTTAATTCAGTGTAAATGAAACTAGGGCTCAGTTTGAGGCTTCATGGATTATACCAGAGAGTTTGCTGGATTTCTTCATGGTGCACTTGCAGTGACCTTTTGCTTTACATTGTCAAGAATGTGACAACACTCTGGGATCCAAGGGAACAGGGGAGGGGACTGGAGAGCTTGTAAAGACTGTACTTTTATCACACTTATCAGGGGAGAAACATATCTAAATTTAACCAATGGCACCCTGAAGAAAATTGTATATTTAACACTACATTTTTTTTTAATTGTCAAGAATGATACCTGTATGTTTGTTTAATTTTATTTAAAAAGCTCAAAATCTATTCACTAGACAAAGTAGAATATTGGTGAGCCATTGAACGACATTAGCATTAGATAGCAACTCTACTTCTCTTTCCTTTATTGATTTATAAGATGAACAGGTGGATGTGATGAACATCCTCTAAACAGAAACTCTGATTTTAAATGATGTGGCTTTCAATGATTCACACACAAAAAATAGAGTAGCAAAGCCCCTTGGAGTGACCAAGTAGTAATTTCTCCTTACAGTATCAATACATTTTCCTGAACAAAGTTGTTGAGAAGAGAGAAATGCATCAACTTGTGGATAATGTACAATTTGATACCAAATTCTCAGAGCCAAAATTGTAAGAAATGTATGACAGACAGTGAGGAAAGAGATATTGGGATCTTAGGAGTGAAAGGGTTTGCATTCATGCTGAGGTTTTTAAAGAGGAAAATTCATCTGGTAGATACTGTGATGGAATGGATTTCTATCATAATTGCATCTGTATAATAATCTTGCATGGCAAGAAAAATTAAGTATGCTGTGTATGAAATATTTTTGATGTGTCAATAACAATGCCCTCAGCCTATTACTTCTCACAGCCCCTATTTATAAGTTGACCAACTGCTACCAAGTGTAAAACATTCTGTCACAGTTGGGTTCCAAGGGTCTGAAACCTTAAGATTACTGAGGATTTCACTGCTTCCTATTCATCCTTTTTAAGAATGTAAACTGAAATGCTCATGATTTTTCCAAATTATAAGCAATCCTTCTGTTGACCAAGTCTGAGATATTAGGAAAGTGGTGAGATCCCTCACTGCTCTAGGGACATTTCAGCTAGGAAAACCAACCCTAAGATTTTAATCCATATAATTTTGTTCACAACAATAAAAAATTTTAACTGTCTTCTAGTCTAGAAATCATTATTTATTAGTTAATTTCATTTGCTGAGAGATGTCTGCTGTCTTCTCAACTCAACCTCTTCACAAGCTCCTGCCAAAGTAGGCTGTATGTTCCCAAAGGGAAAAATTTGTAGTTCCAAGCCCTCTCTAAAAACTTGATTGGAGATCAGCATCTTGTGTGCAGGAATTCCAGCCAAGTTTTATATTATTGTCTGTTTACTTGACTGTCATTTTTGAGAGCAACAAGCTTTATTTGATACTTCTTCAGCTTCCTTAGGTCGTACAAGAGTGCTTCTTCCAGATGGAGGGTCAACTTGTTCTTGAGGTAGATTGCGAGCTGAACAAGAGAAAATTATATTCAAGCTACAGGAGTTTTCTCAATTAAATGGAATGGAAAAATACTGAGGTGAGGTGAGAAAATACCCTCTTAAAAAAGTAGCAGTGAACAAAGAGGTGCTCATTGACAAAGACTTGATAGGCTCCTTAACTGATATCAGTGTATAACTTCAAGGACAAGGCCTTCCTGTTCCATAAAATGTTAATCAGTGCACCCTTCCTCAAGATTTACACCCAGAAATGTCAAATAACAGCTCCATACCCAGGAATTAAGAGAAAAGCAAGAGAACTCAATCAACCTACATAGCTCTTCAAAGAGCCAATGTACATTCTTGTTTGTTCGAGCACTTGTTTCCACAAATATTGCCTCTTCACTGTTAGCAAATTCTTCTGCTTCTTCCTCAAGCACCTTAATGGAAGATGAAAATTAACATCTTAAGAATTGACAATGTATGGCAGACAGTGAAAAAAATTACCAAATTGTGAGTGAAAGGGTAAGCAGTCCCAAAGGCAGAGGCTGCAGCCACATTATAACTACATTTTTGATGTAAACTTCCTGACCTGAAAGGCCTCAACCTAGAGTTTCTTGGCCATACCAGAGTAATTCCAGCCATTTCTCAGATTTAATGAGCCAAACATTTCTGTCAGCTATAGCTAAGCAAAAAGATGAGACAACACAACCCAGGAGGTTTGCACACAAATTAGAGGAGCTGATTAGTAGCATAAGCCAGGATAAAAAAAGCATTGCAAATCAAAGTACCTCTTGACTTTACAGTAATTAATATCTGACCTCTCTTTGATCAGCCTTATCACACTTATTTCCTGCAATGGCTATAAGAATATCAGGGGGGCCATATCTTTTTAGCTCCTTGATCCAGCTTTTTAATGCATGAAATGAACTCTGGAATGCAACATACAAATATTTAAAACTCTGTCTAACAAAGTTCATAATAAAATCAGTTAGGTTGTATGATAGTATAATATCTCTCAGTATGTGCAGTATGATAAGTCAAGTTTGTGAGTACTTGTTGGGGTGTATGCTTAAGAAGAAAGATAACTTTGATTGTTCTTTTCAGATGGACTTCAGTCAGATTCAGATGAAACAAGTACCTTAATCGCAGTTCTCTACTTGTAATTATCTGATACCCTCCACAGTTTCCAAGTTAAAGATTATGTTAAGATTGAAAAGTATCTTAGATCTATTCAGTAATCAGGCCCCCAGCTGTACATAGCACTTCTGCATAAGAGTTTCTTCACCCCTAAGTATATTTGCGGCCTTAAACAAAGTGAGGCTACCAGAGGTCGATGAGGTGTCTGGTGATTGTTATCTGGTTGAGAACCCTCAGAGACCTCTTGCTGGCTGACTTTGCTCAAGAACTTGAACTTTCTTGCCAGTGCAGAAACACTCATGCTAAGGTGCCTGCTCATAGGTTATCTTGAATTTAATATTTTTCATCTCACACATTTCCATATTGCATCTTTCATTTTCTTTGATTCTTTCTTCACTTATTTCAGTTTCATATGTCAATTTTAAATCACCACTTGTAAATAATCCTGAATCATATATATATTCTGCAACAATTACAGCTTTGCAGCATACTTTAAGCATCATCTAACCCTTACTATGTAATAGAGAATTTCCAATCAAGCACATTCTGACCTACAAATGTTCATACTTACATCACTTGTTATGTCATAAACTAAAATGGCAGCAGCAGCATCTCTGTAATACAGTGGAGCCAGACTTTTGAACTGAACGATAAGACAAACATACACAACAGTAAATAAAATAATATTATAACATAAAAAATTTAAGAATGAGTAAATGCTTGTTTACCCCATTATAGTTTAAATGTTATGACTCTCAAGATCTCATTAGTAATTCTCCTTACTGTCTGCCATACAATTCTCATAAAGTTAGTACAGAGAATTTGGTATTTGATCAACTAATGATCCCCAAATTGATATTTTCTTTTATTCTCATCACTTGCCTGCTTGATATTGCAATAAGATTGTGAGAAGGGGTTCTGTCTTGGTCACTCATAGGAGTTAAAGGATTAAAGGTTTTGAGAATTAAAATTATGATTACTAGTGAGTAAATTGGTTATCGTTGCAGATGAATGGCCTCTAAAAGGTTTTACATCTCTGAGTTTACTAACTGAAAATATTACTAACAGTGACTCAGTGTGAGATAGTCTTCTGATATAATCACATGATATCCCTAAGTTCACAGTAAAACACATTTGTTTACAGACATGTCTGGGCAAGGAGTGTCAGGGTCATGGCTCTATTACTCTTGATACAAATTTCACCATCTTCATCACTATTTTGTCGCATTTTAATGGTGATATTACACCAATAACAGAATGAAAAAAATGAGTCTCAACAGAAGGAAAATCAAGCTTACAACAAGGATAAAATTAAACAGTCACACAATCCAAAATACATTTAATAACCAAATAGGCAAACAGTACTATATGGTTTTTCTCTCCTACCCTTTCCTGTCCAGCCGTGTCCCAAATATTGAACTTAAATGCTTGTTCTCCCACAAGTAACATTTTGGTCATAAAGGCTGCCCTGTGAAATACAAAGAAAGCACGGATTTAAGCAAATGAGGAGGGAAGGATTGATAACATATATTTAAATGAATAACTGTTATCATTCATAAAGGTCCTTCATTTACAAGACTAGTACTGCCTGCAAAATAGAAACCTCACAGGGATTAATTATGCCTACACTTCTGTTACCAGGTTTCTTAGAGACTTTAAGAGCAGATCACCAAATGCATAATGCAATGGTTTACAATTCAAACTCCAAAAATTGGCACCCCTTTGTGAGGTTTGGGGATACTTCCCAAAAATTTTTTTGGCAAATTTAATTTGAGCCTCTGAAAGACTAATTTACTCTGACTCTCTTGATGATAACTCATTTGGTAAAAGGTAAATCAATTTTTGAAAAGATTAACAAGTGTACGTCCAGCAAAATATTTTGTAGAAACTTGTGTGAAATGGGACGACAGCCTTTAAGAAAATTTTCAGGCAGAAATATCTCCACAGTAATTTTCACAATGCATTTAAAAAAAGTAGGTCACTGAGAAATCAAAACAGTCATCATGCATCAATTTCTTTGTTAAAAACAATTTTAAAAAAAGCCAGATAATAATAGTGATAATAATAATAATAATTATAATCATTATTGTTATTATTAATCAGAATAACAATAGTAGAGACTTATTTTCCAGCTCCATCATCAGGTTTTACAGGGCCAAAGAAAACGAAATTAAAAAAAAGAAAACTAATGAAAAAAAAATTGACCAGTGGCAGAGAGCAGGACTTGCACACAGGAATACAGATTAAAAGCCTATTGCCACCTATCTGCCATTCTACGCCTCCCCCCCCACTGGTTTTTGAAAAATTATGTTTAGGCATATCCCTTTGACCCCAAGAAGGGACTAGCATCTCATTTCTCCTTACAATATCACCACTGAATCATACATTAAGGTCATGAGAATAAAGGAAATGATCATTGAAAAAGAAGCTCTTGATTGTTACACAAATTGTCCTTGTCAGTACCTTAAGAAATGCAAAGAGAACAGTTAGGGAAATCTGTACTGATGATAGGGTATGAGGTGTTACGCTGTTTGCATGACTTTGTTGGAAAGCTGCAGTTGTACTCATCACATGTATAGTACAAGCACCTTTGTAAGAGATGACTAAACTTGTTCCCTTTTAATCTTAAAATATTTTGCTTAATTTTATCTTCTAACTTTTGATATGTATTTTTATCAAATGAATATACACATTTATCTGTTTATGATGGTCAGCTGAGCGTTTTCGACCAACAAATGATTACATATCAAAGATACTAACAATTAACTGTAAACCGGTCCAGCAAATATTAATCAAGATAGTATTTATAGGACACCACAAGTTATTAACGATTCGATAGGAATTCGTGGTTGATGCAGAGTTCAGGGTTGGAGAAGCTAAATCACAGAAATATCTTTTAACATCTTACTTATGTTTGTTTATTAATTACTCTGCGAATTACATTTTAATAATACGTTCCCTACTTTACTTGGGACGAAATGATTAAAAATGTTATAAACAATGAAAGAGCTTCCAACACTCAACACTATACCAACCCAATGGTAGGCATTGAGGCAGCATTGAAAGCGTCCGATACGAAACGATGAACCAAACACGACTTTCCCACACCAGCATCCTGCAGAAAAACACATTAAATTCACCAACCAACAGACAAAATTAACCTTTACGTAATGAGTGTGACAACTATACAATTTCATTGATCCGAAAGCTCGAATTTTCTTTCAATATGTCCCTCGACTTACCCCAAGAAGGCAGAGTTTTATTTCTCTGATGGCCCCTCCAGGACCACTGTAGGTTCGATGCATGATCCGAAACAATCGATATCTGTATGTCGTCTTTGTCAACAGCTCATTTTCCTTTCCAAGTCAGCAACACTTCGATGCTTTGCATTAATATCTCACAAGAAGGAAGAACCTTTTGTGGGAGCTGGGAAGGACTATGTGTCATCTTGCATTGTGGGATTGTGATGATTTTTAATATGGCGGCAAAACGAGATAAGGTAATTCTCCATAAACGTCAAATGTCTTTCTTCGCAGTTTGTACCTTTTTACTACTTAATTAACTTGAGATATATTTTTACATCACAGCATACGACGCTTAACTGGAAACCTGTTCAAAGGAAGCCATTGTAAGTGGGAAACAGCAATTTATCTCGTTGCTATGTTAGTGTTTCCGTCACGCAAAATTTATTGTAAACAAAATGCAATTTGCAAAATAATTTTTGTAATATTAAGGTTGTGTCTGCTTTGCTTCAGATTAATGTAGTGTATGCGTTTTTCTTTATTTAAAAGTGACAATAGCCGCGTTATCCGATTCAAGTGCTCACTTCAGAACACCATTATAGATGTACTTCGCTCAAAGGGTTGGACTGAAGTGCGAGAGTAAGTTATTCTTCATATTTATGTTAAATATACATTGCATTTACCGGTACCTGTAGTTTGACGGTACATCATTTCGGGTAGATATTTAGCTCTTATGCTTGGTGCAAAATTTCCTGGTCTTCATGGTAACGAGTGCCTTTGCAGAGGTACTAGAAAATATACGACTTTGCAATTTGCATGCAATACCCCAGCCACGTCAAAGAAGTGTAGTTAAAATTCTTTGTTAGAAAGTCCCAGGAATCCCATAGTTACCATAACCCTTTGTAGTTTGTTAGTTACTTAACTTCAAGTCCTCGTCATACATCTATGCACTTTACGCCTTGGCAAAAGAACACCATTACTTTCTGTGGGTTACTGGGTGGTCAAGCTGCCCTCATGTCTAGCCTCTGTCCCTCATTTCCCTTTCTACAGTTTTCCTCCAAGTTTCCTGAGGAGGACCACTCTATCATTGCTGTTGGGTGTCTATGGAAGGGCAACTCTGGGCTGGGCTGATTGGGGCATTTGGAGAACATGGTCAATCCATCTGCATCACCAGAATTGCTGAGTGATGGGTTTTGTACCCGCAGTTTTGTGCAGCTCAGTGTCAGAGATAATGTTAGGCAAAAAAGATTCAAAGAATTCTTTGCAGGCATCAGTTCTTGAAGTTATCCTTTGTACTCTGTCACAGTTCTTTGCTCCACCTCACTGTCACCTCCCCCTCTCCTCCCTCTTTTCTAAGCTCATTATCTGTAGACATGTTTGAAGTTAATATTCTTTTCATGAACAGGGAAGGTGAATGGGATTTTTACTGGTGTGATGTTGGCTGGATGAGAGAATACTTTGACCATACTTATATGGATGAACATGTCAAGATCTGCCATTTTAGGAACCATTATGAGGTGAACTTAGTTACAATTATAACTACTGCATTATTAGGAATTACTGCTAGTCAAGTAATTTAAGATTTCTCTGTGAAAACTTGTGGAGTGTTAGTAGTTCTGAGTTCTTTTGACTGCCCTTAATTCCTATGATCTCATTAGTAATTTTCCTTACTGTCTGCTGTACAATTCTTGTGACATTAGCTTGGAGAATTAGGTATTGGATCAACTTATAATGACCCCCAATTGGTATTCTTCATTATTCTCATCACTTGTCTACTTAAAATTATATTGATATTGTGCGGAGAAATTCTGGCTAATGGCCACTTATGAGAGTTAAAGAGACATTGAGACTTAATATCTAAACATATTACTATTGATATTTTTCCTGTGGAAAATAATTTTTCCCGCAAAGCAACTAGAAGGCTTTTCATGGGTAATTCACTCTAATTCACACAAAAAAAGTGATGTCAAAATTTTATGACACCCCAACAATGACCAATTTTCATCAAGACAATGGCAGATATACATGATATTTAATTACTTCTCATCAATGACAGTTGACACGGAAGAATCTCATGGCAAAGAATCTTAAAAGACTGAAGAAACAGCTTGAGAGAGAATATGGGAAACTGGAAGCTGCCAAGTATCCTTTTTGATGTGAAATTTTTTTTTCTTGAAAAGTTGTGTCAATTAGTGCTTTGTACAACAGAAATATGAACTGTGCTTTTAGCATCTAGAGAGAGACTGAGTTTAATAGATGTACACAATGGTATGACAGTAATTTGAGTGGATATAGTTGACTCTGGATAGTTAAAATGATGAAACTGTAAAAACAAGTTTCTCTACTGTATCTGTAATTACAAAATTACAAGGGTAGCCTTTGTAGGAATCTCATTGGGGACCACAGAATCATTGCTCTCTTATATAGATTTTACTAGATATTTCAACATTTGTAGTCTTTTTGGAATTCGAATTATAGTAGCCTTTCATTATACAAAAAGCTGCATTTCTACAAACTGATTACCAAGAGTTGCAGGAGTTTTTTACTTCTTACTTTCTTAATTTTTGATAATGTTGTATGACTGTGTAAAAATTTTAGTAGAATATGTCCATACTTTTTAGTTCTTAACTGCAACTAGGTGTGACTTTTTCCCAACAACATTTGAGCTTCCCGTAAGTTTTAAGTCTTTTTATGTTTTACAGTTAGTACTAATTGCAATGATCTTTTCATGGCTATTCAGTGAATGATTTAATTTTGACAGAAATTTTTAATGTATTATTTTCAGATCAAATGTCTTGTAAATAGTCTCAGCTTATTAGAAGCTTAGTTCTTTCCATTTTATGTGTGAGAATGTGGTGGTCTGGTGGTGAATGTGGTTAATTAGTACTCTGTGTTGTGTTTTTGGGCAAGCCACTCTCACATTGCCTCTTCCCACTGAAGAGTATATTTAACAAATAGATTCCAAGTTGCCATGCGTCTGTTCAGTGATAGATCACAGATGACATCAAAATGTGGTAAGAACAAAAAAGTGGCACACAAGGCACAGCCGAACAGATGCGCAGCAACTTGGAATCTATTTGTTTTATATAATAAAGAATTAAAATATACGGGAAAAAAGTTTTAATGACGACACCATCTATACGTCTGTCCTCCAATAGATCATAAGTGAGAACCAATCAGAATGTGTGCATAACTGAGCTTATTATATAATTTGGTATTTTAAACCTTCTTGGATATAGGAGATATAATTGTTGTAGTGTTACCTGTGATGCACTAGCATAGACCCTGACCAAACAGAAAATCAAAATGAATACTAAATGCCACATGGAAAAAAAACCAACCAAACAAACAGACAAATAACCTCTAGCCATGATTGGAGCTTCCACTGAACTGATTTGACCCTCTTTGAATTTCTTTGCTCTGACTTACTCTGATTGGCTATCATTTTAGATGGAGTATCACATATTTGTAGAAGAATTTAAGAGAAACCCTGGTACAACATGGATCATGAAACCTGTAAGTTTAAGTGTTATTAAATGTATCCTGATTTATTCTTTCATAGTTTCTGTTGGTTCTTGAGACTGTGAGGGGTTGGACTCAGGAGTGAAAGTCAATTAATATGTGGTGCGATCTCCTGCATAACAATAATTCTGAAAAGTGCTTCAGTGTCCATTAGAGAGGCTGAGAATTTGTCAAATTTAGTATAAGTCACATCAGAATTGAGTGAGGAGGTGTTTGTGAGTCATGTAGTATATTCACTTTTTGAAAGCTGATTGATCAGGTTTGCAGTGTTTTTTAACCACATCACTTAAAAATGAATTTATTTGTGTCACTCCAGGTAGGGAAGTCTCAAGGAAAGGGAATCTTCTTGTTTAGAAGGTTAAAAGATATCATGGACTGGAGGAAGGTTTACTATTACTTATGCAAAATTATTAAGAAGTATCAGAGAACAGTTAGAGGTAGACTTCCTGTAAAAGCCACATCTATACAACAGCCACATACAATGGCCATTTTTTTCACTGTAGCATCACTGAGTGACAAACAGACTTATTGCAAAATGATTCAAAATTAGCTCATGCAGGAAAAGCAGATAGTCACTATCACATAGTAAAGTGATGGACTTACTCATTTTGTTTTCATTTTTGAAACATTTTTACTTGGCCTGGACATCAATCTTTGGCTTTCTTATTGATGTGTTCTGAGTATGCAACATGTACTGTACATGCTGTCAGTAATAAGGGTTTTCTTCATTTAGTGATTTCAAAATTTTTACTTTGTTGAGACTCTTTTATTTCTGATCAATTGCTTTGTTCTTTTATTTTAGGAAGACCCTTATCGAGCAGCCATGTCAGAAGAAAGGGTGAGTTAAGGTGGTTAATTTTTTTTTAGCTTCAGTTCTCTTTGCCTTTTGCAGTAGTCTGGCTGACCATCATAGTGTCACTGGTGAGTCGTTTGACCCATTTACTCCTTTCCTCGTGACTTTATGGCAATTATAGGGTTTGATACTAAGACTCAAACCAGTGTTAACCTCCCATCATTTTTATTTCTCCCTCTCTTTCTCTTTCTCTTCTGATCCTTCAACTACCAAGATCTGATTGGTAATTTTCCTATCTAGCTGCTACACATATACTCATAAATTAGTAATGAGAATTTGGTGTTAGATCATCAAGATAAAAACTTCCTGATAAGTTTGAACATTTGCATAATCTGTTTGCTGGATAGAATTTGGTTATTATAGGAAGAAGTTAAATGTTAATCACTTCTGGGAGGTAAAGGGTTAATATAATTTTGATGAGGGTTTTATTTATTTTGTGAAATAACATTGCTAAATATAATTATGAATTTCCTGTTTTACTCTGACTTCAGAAAGATGAAAAAGAACCACCAGAGGCTTATATTGTTCAGCGTTATGTTGAGGATCCTTATTTAATTGGGGGTAAGTGAGTAATTACATTTTAACACATTATTGCAATGGTTTCAATAACTGAATGAGTCATGTACCTCAGTTCTTTGAACTGATGCCATTCACAAAACTGTATTTTTCTTGTTTTACTGTTCTCTGGCAAATGACTTCCTAAGTAAGGAAGCCCTTGTTGTTAGGAACTGATTTAGTTTTAATTATTTGTTTTTTGTCTTTTGTTACAGGTAGAAAGTTTGATTTAAGAGTGTATGTTCTAGTGACATCAGTGAGTATTTCTTGATCAGGTTGTAATTTCCATATGAATGTAGTACAGAGGAACCTGGCAACCCATGCCAAGCTGCTTTGTCTCTTGCTCTGCCTGATAATTTGATGAAACTTAAAACCAACGTGCAAGAGATATCAACCAAATTCATCTCAAACCCAGAGTCTCCTTGGCTATTTGCAAGTGTTGCTCACACAATGAGCTGAAGCATGCACTGAGCCAGAGCAAACTATGGTGTAGACATGCCCACGATGCAGTTGGCCATGCATGCTAAAAGTAGTTCTGTCTTATGGTAGCACACCAACTTTTCTTGGATTGATGGGTTACAGCATACTATTAGTTTTTATATGTATGGGACAGTGCTGCATTCACCTTGCATGCCTCAAGCTCCTCTATAGTAAACTTAATGTTTTAGAGACATTAAAATATCTGAAGTGTAACATTCAGTAACTCTATAATAGTAAGTGATTAGTGTCTTGTACAGCCCCCTTCCATGTAAAAAATAATGTAAGTTATACTATTACATCATCCTGATGGTGACATAACTCCATAGTTTGTAGAGGGGACCTTCTACTGATTAGGATTTATCATTTCCAGAGAAGTAGTACAAATTTAACAAAGAATGTTTTTCTCCTGGTAGTATGCCCCCATGTGTGCGTGGCTGTACAGAGAAGGATTTGCAAGATTTTCAAATACAAGATTCTCTTTGGACTCAATAGATGACACTTGTATCCTTTTCCTGTCAATCCAAGGTGTGAAAGATGGGCATGGAAGACACATATAGCCCTGCTGCATTGTTTACAGAATTAGCAGTGACAAGCAAAAATGAAACTAAAGGCTTTAGACTTAGAGTGTTTATCAAGGAAAACAAAGCACAAATCTCTAGATCTATGAACATCTTGTAAATGTAAAGTGTTTCAAATATGATTGTAAAATTTGATACTAATGAGTTTGATGCCTACCCTTCTCCTCCCAATTTAGTGTATGAGACATTAAGTTTGTTACCCTTTCACAAGCTCAGCTGATGAAAATCCTTGACTTTTAAACACCAGATGTGCATCTCACCAATGTTGCTATTCAAAAAACTGCTCCTGATTATGATGCTGAAAAGGTAGGCATGATAGAAGATGCAATCATGCAATAGTGTAAGGGAGGTTTAGTGGAAGACTGATACCATGAGCAGAATGACATAAAAATGGAATGTTATCAATAACAGTGTTTTTACACCTAGTTGAGTAGAAATTGATTCACTGATCTGCATATTGGAAACAGAGGGAAGAAAACATAGTGTGGTTCTGATATGAACTGGCTTTTTGAGGGGCATGATCTACATAATTTTTCTGTTGTTGAGTACTTGATTCCATTGAGGTTGCTTGTTTGAGTGAGCAATCCACTAATCTTTAATGAACTTTCAATTGACTATTTCCAGGGCTGCAAGTGGTCTCTACAACAGCTTAGGAGGTATCTTGTGGCCAAGCATGGCTTGGAAAAGGTTAGAAAAGGGGGCTAGAAATAAATTTTGGCTGACCTAAGTGTATATGTCAAAGTTTATGTAATGTTGTTAAAGGGTCTAAGCAGTACTAAGCAATTATACCTGGTTTTATTGTCCATGTTCATGTACCTTGTGTAACGTAATTGTTTAATGTCTAAGGGATACAGAAATTATTGTATTAATAGTTTGTTACCATAATTCTAGAGACAATATCTAATTTATTTGATTTATAATGCCTTATCTCAGGTTGAGACCTTGGTGAGGGACATGGATAACATCTACATTAAAAGTATACAAGCTGTTCAAAAAATTATGATCAATGATAAACACTGTTTTGAGTTGTATCCTTTGAGTATAACAGATTACAGTATTTTATAATGTGCATCGTTGGTTAATGGAAGCTCCTTAGATAGCCAAGTGACTTGCGGGAAATCCAAGGATTGCCTTTACCAAAAGTGTTTCATGTAGTTGATGACACTGTTTACATAACAATTCCTCCTCTTATAATAGAGGTTATTTTGGTGGTGTTTCTTCCTTAACAAGGACTAGATATGGTTATGATATTCTAGTAGATTCTAAACTAAAACCGTAAGTTCATTTTAAATTATGCTTATAAGGAACCACTTACCCTTCTCACCCTAATGTCAGTAGACATATTCTCCATACTGTTCTCCATATGTATCCTAAGGTTCTGACAAAGAGAATTTGTTCAACAATCAAGAGCTTCTTTAGTTGACCATTCCCTTTATTCTTATATAACCTTAATGTGTGATTCAGGGGTGTTATTGTTGGGAGAAATTGGATGCTAGTCACTCTTAGGGTCAAAGGGTTAAAATTGTGTACCTCAGACCTTTTTCATGACGCTGGGTATTATTTCAGGTGTTGTCTAGACAACCAACATAGCTCCTCATAAATTTCTCATCAGCATCTTTGAGGTACCTCAAAACTTTCACAGACTTAACACCCTCCATTAAACATAGGCCAAATTCTATAGATGATGTAATGAGAATTTAATCTTTGTAGCTGGTTGATTGAAGTGAATGCATCACCATCACTGACTGCAAGCAGTCAATCTGACTATGAACTCAAGTGTCGTCTGCTGGAGGATATGTTGCACATTGTAGACATGGAAAATAGGTACAATCTGCAATGTTTTTTGTCACAGTCAATGTCTTTAGAGTTTAGTTGATAAATAAGTGGTAATCTTGGCTTTCTGAGTAGTTCTTGTCCTGGTTTTGCATATGATTTTTGTCTTAAACTACTGAATGGACTGGAAAATTGAAAAAAATACTCATGTTATGATAATTTTGTGTTATAATGTAGTCTGTCATTTAAAAGTTTGAATACCACAAACAGGTTCACCATCTGATGGTGTAAACATCATCAAGTTAGACTGGATTGTTTAGTCATTGTCATAAGAACTGAGAAAATTTTAAAAGGATCAAATACAGTTTATTAGCATTTAATTTAGCAGTGTTCTTAGTGGAATTAGTTTGGGTGCAGTTGTTTGATCTTGATGTCACATTTAAGCCTAACATTATGTGTATTTTTTCACATTGAGACTGACAGGGAGAGAGAAACGTGTAGGAGGTTTTGACTTGATGTGGAATGATGGACCAGTCTACATGGATGATACCAGTGGAGCAGATTGTATTCCAAATCCTCCATACCCTACAAATACTTTCTTAGGTGAGATGTCATGCTACTGTTGTTTAGAAGCACTTTGCAAATTAACAGTATAAAATAACAAAGTTGACATCTGACCACCGAGTCACTAGGGACTAGGGGTATAGTGAAACTTGCCTCTGTGCTGTAGAGAGATGCTGTATTATGAGAACTTATCACAAAGCTACATTGTTTCCAGAAGTCCCCTGCAGTAAAATTGTCAGGTATATTCCCCCTTGGCCATCTGACCCAAATTTCTGCACTCCAAAACTTTGAAAACCACAGTCATAACAATTTCTCATAAACTTCAGGATGTGACAACAGTGATCGTGACAAACAACTGAAGCAAGTGTTCAAGAATGCCCAGGCCATCAAGAAGACGTGATAATGAATAACAGCCAGAATAGCCTGCTATCAGTGGTTAACACATTTAATACAAGCGAGGTATAAGAAAATCCACAATCAAGTCCACTTTTTAAGTCTTCAGAATTGTTCTTTATCATAGGCTTCAGTTCTTCCAAGGTTGTAGTATATGTACATAGTAAACAAATTTTGTAAAGCAGAATGGGAGGGGTGTTGTAAATGTCACATTTCTAAATCGAATGAAGAAATTGCATGAAAATGAAAAATTAGATAAGTTAGTTATTTATTTTCAGTGTGGATGGGTATTGTTAAACATCTATTTCTGTTGTCAACCAACTCCAATAAACTGATAATCCATACATGGATCCATCTTTGCTTAAAAATGGTGAATAGTTATTGCTGCTCTTTCACCTGAAGGAAATATCAAAAATAAAAGTCAGGCAATATTAACATAAGTAAGGCAAGACTCAGTTTGTAGTGTTCCATGTGTAATCCAATAGTCTTGACTTTCTCAGCAATCTGGCACCAGTGCCCTTATGGTCACAAAATCATATCTTGCATTTTCTTCCATGTTGTTGGCAGGATTTTCATTGGAGATATTCCACACTTAGTGCTACCCTTTTTGACAAACAGGGGTCACTTGCATCCCAGTTCTTGCCCCCTTCCTTTAAAGGTATACCTTTGCTGTTTTGAATAACTGAAGATTTGTATCTTGTGATATTCTTCAGCCTTGGATGACTTGTTTATAGAGCAGAGTCTGTGTGTAAAGTAGTAGTGCAGCCATTTCTGCTCCTCCTTTGAGGGATCATGGCTCCAGACTCTGCAAATCATCTTTTGTCAGAGCAGTTAAGTCAAATCCCTTCACCTCTGGTAATCCTGAATAAGAAGGAATACTACAGTGTTACTAAAAATCAGAAGGTGGCATATTTCTTTTCTCAATAAATCTGCAAATAGGACAAGCTGCTTCTTAGATGACTAAAGCAGCTTCAAAATTGCCAGAAGACCCTTGCTAGTGGCCAGTACACTGTAATACAGATCAAGCAATCAGACCAGATTGAGCACTAGCATGGGTCTTAGTGTTGTGCTCTTGGATGAGACACATTACTTTCAAAGTGCCTTCCAGTACAGTTAATGCTCTAATGAATTCCTCTCTACTGACTTCCATCAAATGAACTGGTGCACTATCAGGGAAACCTGATGAAATTCTGAGGGCAACCTGGAACAGACAAGCATCCCATTCTTGGGGAGTAGCAATACTTGTAATCACTTCATGCCACAGAAACAGAGAGATCCCCAGGCTGGATGGGCCACTTGACTTAGAAAAAGACTTTACCTTTTCTTTCTTTACCTAAACTGATGTGATGGACTGGCATCCACTCATCAAAGACTAACAATACTCCTGGCCCCAGTTGTTTGAAGGTTGGATAATGTAATCCAACTGATAACTTGCTACCCTCTGGATAAGTGTCAACAGATTGTACTTCACTATCCACAGATAGGGATTTATCCAGTAGATAGCATTATCTAGCCTTTGCAGAACTGGGGCCTTATCACTTCACGCTGCTGACAACAGTGATGAGTCACATACATCATAAAACTTAATCTTGGTCTAGCCACCTTATCATCTGCCAAAATGAGAAACAGTACTGTTACTACTGAATACAACAACAATAAGTCTACAAACCCTCCAGTTCATGGAGCTTTGAAACTTTTGGCTTCAAGTCTTTCCTTAGCCTGCTTATTTCCTCTTCTAAGTTCTTCTGATCTTCATAAAACAGAAGGGAAAAAAATATGTAAGGTTTAAAGTTTGTTTCTTTGGAGAAAAGACTTCTTGATGTAATTGCTTACCTTGCTGCAACATTGCTTGCACATTGGAACTTGGGAGCTTGATGAACATGTTTCCAAAACACACCCAGGGTTTGGATGCTACAATTAAAACAAATGATTTGATCCTTGTTAAATAAACTATTTCTGTTTTTGCTTTACTCCTGAGAATATTGAGTATCAAACCCTTCCCAACAATTTGTTTGTATTTAACCACAAGAAACTCACTAAGAGTAATGTCTTATCAGTAAATCATACTTCAGGACCCAAGCCAGTAATCAACTAAATTACTGTACTTCCTTGAATAAGCACCTGGGCACTAATTCATATTTCTGTTAAAAATGGGGGAGCTAAGTGGAAGGAGGTTGCTTAATCAAGGAGGGGGGGTGTTATTATTTTCCTGTACTGATTCTGTTGTAGAGTAATTTTTAAAGATAAATGGCAATAAAAACAGGTTTCATTTGTATCTGTAATAGTTAAGAAGGTGAGGGAGGAGGGGGTGCTTGTTTGAAATTATGGTCGGGGGGGGGGGGTTGACGCTTATTCAGGGGAGGGTGTATGTACAGTATGTTTAGGTGAAAAGTAATTACACATTGTTACCAACTGACCATTTTTTTAATACAACAGAAAAAGAAGTGATGACCAAAAGTACAAATAATATAACTTTTTTCCCCAGTTATTGTATACCCCTTTTAGCGTTGTAGTTTTAAGTAATAACTGAGGAGCTGCTCAACAATGACTTTTACAAACTGATATATTTTTGGACCAGTGGCTGTGAATTAAATAAGACCACAGACCTAAAGAAAAACAGAATTTGAGCTTTGCACTTCAAAAACACACCAAGAACAATTGGTTTCTTGTGAGTAAACATTTTTAAAAACCTTTGTTGATAAATGGCCAACAAATAACCATGATGACTGTCCCTCAAAAAGGTAAGTCTGACCACAGACAGGCTGCAATTGATTAAAAGACAGCCAATAAATTTCAACCATTCTTTTTATTTTATTTTGTTTGTTCACCAGCACTGGTTCAGGTCACTGTTTTAGAGAGCCTCAGAAAAGGGTGTATCTGTTAAAATTCACTTGTAAACTGGTTAAGCTTACATGATGCCCCACTTAATCCTCTTTTATCCTCTTTCTTCAGCATTCGAAGAGCTTCTCTGTTTGTATTCCTCTGCTTATCAAGTTCAATTATCTACCAAAACAATAAAAAGAAATTTGTATACATTAACACTAGTATGTCAGCTGTAATTGGAATTTAATTTAATTTTCAAATGCCAGAAAAGTAGTAACCGACCTTTAAGCTCACAAAATGGAGCTTAACCACAGCAGTAGTCGGGTACGAACAAGTTTCAAAAATTAATTTTAAACGTCTAGCAGTATATATATAGAGAGAGAACGAAGAGAGAGCGCCGTCTTCCACATTAATCTTTCGCATTCGAAATCTCCCGAATGGCGTAAAAAAATAGTTTTATCCTTATATGTAATTATTTCACTTTGAAATATCTATACCTGTTGTTTATCTTCCATTATTTCTTGAGCGAGCTCTTCTAATTCAGCAAATTTCTGCAATGTTTGAGAGGCAAGTCTTTCCGCCATTTTGAATTGTTTAGTTCCCAAGCCTCCCGCCGGATCACGCATAAAATCACTGGGGAGATTGACGGAGGAACAGGGCGCGAAATTTGTACGAACGAACGAAAATAACAGTTAACAAGCTAAGTCAGGTACAGAATTATTGTTTGCTAGTCTCTAGCATCCAGGGAGTTAGAAGGAATTAACAAACAACTAGTTAATCTATACTTCTATCAGATTCTTTTGATTCAGATCAAATCAAAGTTGTTATTTAACTCATATTCAAACCGCTCAAACCAATCACTCTGACGAAGGGCTAACGCTCGAAACGTCAGCTTTTTTACCCTTTACGGTGGCTAATTTACGTTTTCAACCCAGTTGTTAACACTAAATTACCTGTCATATTCAAACCGTTTGGCATAACCTTGTATCCCGCCATAATTATTGTTTTGCGGAATTTCATCGCTCCGACCCTTGAATTGCTTATGCGGATGAATCTCCGTATTTCAAACTTGATCCTTTCCTAACGAAAAAAACATTTATATGTCTCTGATCCTGTACCCTGAAGACAATATGGACAGAAAGTTATCCCAGTGTGCAGCTCTGCACCTATCAGCTAGGACTGTGACAAGACTGTGTAGGGCTGATTGCCAGAACATGATTAACGCACATTTCCATCCCACCAACAGTCAGAGATCAGATTTGGGCTTTCCGTTGAAAACAGATGCAGGTTAGAGTTTAGATTCTCTTGAAATTATCATAATCTAACATATTTGATGACATTTCAGTGCAAAATCTCGACAAAGTGGGGTTAGATGGCATCATGGACATTGAAGCAACTGCAGCAACAAGAAAGTCAATAATTCTTAAGCCAAAGCATGTTGGTGATGTTCAAGTTGTTCCGGTGAAACACTGTTTTCCATGGTGTAATTGGAAGGAACATGATAAACAACCAACTCCTGCTGAGGTTTCCCCTTTAAAAGTCTTAAAGAGGAAGAGTCATGTATTAATAGACAATATGAAGGAAAAAGACATAGATGAGCACTGCCAATCAGGAAAAAGAAGGCAATCAGTGAAACTTACAAAGACAATGAAACTTACAAGTTCACCGGCAAGGAATTTGGTTAGAAAACACTCTTCAAGTAACAATGAGCGAGATGCTCTTTGCATACAGAGAACTGATCAGGAAGTAGAGTTCCTGCAAGTAAAGATGCTTGGTACATCAGCAGAGTCTATGGAGGTGGAGCCAGGAAGAACACACTCAAAGGGACCTTCATCAAAAGACTTCCCAAAGACTTCTCAGCAACATGATACAGTGAATTCTGATGTCCAAGGTCTTATTCTAAATGCAGAAAGATCAGAAGACTCTGGTAAACCTTTAAGGCTTGACAAGCAAAAAGCTTTGCAATTTTTGTCCACTCTAAATTTGCAAGAAATTGATAAAAGCGGTATAAAATGTAAGTCTTTATTTGAGACTTACCAGTTTGATAAAGTGGAAAAATCCATTGTTGAGGAAAACTGAACGTTGCTTGTCAAAATATTCAGTGTACTTTCTACTGCCATCTTACCAAACACTAAGTTTGTATCAAACCACAAGATAAATTTATGTTTTACAATCACAATTTTATTGCATTTGTTTTAAGAGTCTTAAAAAAAGAGCAGTGAGAGCTTTGAACCCAGGAGTAGCTGTTGTTCTTTCAGTCTGATTGTCCAGGTGGGAGTAGTCCTGATAAGGACTGTTGACAGTTGTAGTGATGATGTTTGCATGCTGACAAGGAAGTCATTATCAAAGTCACTTGTGCTCAGAGCAACTTCAACTCAGTTTGTTTAAATATCAGTCATTTCTACTAGCAACAATCCTTTTCAGGACTGCTCAACCTTGGACAATCAGCCTACTTCATAAATTAAGGCAGAACAGTGACTCAATATAATGAATATATTGATCAGTTGAAAAGTAGAATAAATATAAAAGGAAAGCATTTTGAAATAGTTTGCTTTCAATTCAAGCTAGTCAAAGACAGCAACACCCAAAGTGACAAAATCCAGGATGTGAAGAGCTGTGTAAAAACACATGAAGTTGGAGTGTAATTAAAAAACCAAAACATGAGATAAGAAAAAAACTTTACTTTCTGAAGGAAATAGATAGTTTTTTGACCATTTCATTTCACCATATAAATATAGTTATAAACAGATAACAAGCTTGAGGTTATTTTCATTGTGCATTACAAAATGTTTCCCAGTGAAGAGAGTGTTGCATATTTTTGCTTTTATGTTTATCCAGTAACGAATTGTACATTACATTCTAGTACAATTTTAGAATAATTATTTTCAATGGTATTGTACTTAATAAAATCAAAATTAGCATGGAAATAAAGACAAAAAATATTTTGGCAACCTCTAGGAATACCTCCAAGAATAAAGCCATAAAAAGTGTATATGGAACATATAATGTGTATTTGAGGGGTGGTATATGTGAGTGCCATATGGCACAGTCAGATGGGAAAGGGTAAAAATTTTGTTAATTCAAGTAAAAAGTTATGGATTCATTGTGTGATATCTCACACCCTTAGTTTCATCAAGTTTCATGCCAGCCTTTTTCTTGTAATCCTCCTGTTGTCTTTCTCTCATAACTCGCTGCATTTCAAGTAAATCTGCTTTGCTCATTCCTGTATGAACAAACAAAAATTAACCTTAATGTTAATAAGGTTCACCATTTTTTTCTGGATCATCAAATAGATTGCATGTTGCTGTGCATCAGTTGGGTAACAGATCAAAGACAACATTGAAATATGGTGAGAACATCAAAGTGGCTCGTGTGGCACAATTGAGTGTGTCACTGATGTTTGTATCACATTTTTTGTTTTCTGTAATCTTTTACTGTACAGACCCACAGCAACACAGAATCTATTTGTTTTTATGATAAAAAAGCAGAATGTTGTTGATGGTGACATCATCTACACATCTGTCTTCTAATAAATGATAAGTAAGACCTAATCAAAATGTGGATAATTAATAAATGTATTTATCTCATCTAAGGTGAGCAACATATTCTTGCTGTCTCACTGCTGGCACGAAGACCCTGCATTTGCTACCACTCTGGCAGGTATTCTAGTCTGAGTAACTCCCTTTCTTCCATTTAGACAGCCACCCATGTCAAATGTTACTGATAGCAGAGCTGTTTCTTTCCTATGTGTCCGGTTTTCTTACCAGGTCTTGTTGGTCCAGAGTGAAGTGATTTATGCCTGATTTCATCATTTTCAATTGAAACCTGTTGCTTTTGTGCTTTCTTCAGAGCCTTAAGCCTTCCTTTTTTCCTCTGTTTGGCTTCCCACTTTTCCAGGTCATAAAATCTACATATCAAGCAGACAAGTGATGAGAATAAAGAAAAATATCAATTAGGGGATTATTAGTTGATCCAATACCAAATTCTCCACACTAACATTAAAAGAATTGTATAGCAGACAGTGAGGAGAATTACTATCGAGATCTTGGGAGTGAAAGGGTTAACTAATGTGGTTGAACAAAATCTTGTGATCTGTCAAAGGGCGAAAAAGTGATTTGATTTGATTTACTGGGGGTTAGTCACATTAGGATTCAATATAGTGAAATTTTTTTTTTTACACCAGTAATTGTTGCTTACTTTTTATGTGGTAGTGTTACAGTGTTATAGTCCTCTGCAAAAGTTTCAAACATTTTTTTCATTTCAGATCTGGGAAACACTTCAGGGTTTACTTTCTTGACTTCTTGAAGCCACAAGTAAAATTCTTGTTGTTTGTTGAAAATGTCACTTTCCACCAAGATTCCATATTTGCCATACTTGTCTTGATTGACAGCTGTCTTTGACTTGATTTCTTTTTTTCTTGTTTTCTCTTTCTTTTTCCTTGTTTTCTTGCCCTATGACAAACCAAGCTATGCACTCAGAAAAATAATTTGATTATTTTTATATCAAGGCTGCTTGATAAATATCTTGAGAATCCAAGGAGCCCAGCTCTTTCACTTTGTTTTTAAAATGAATTCAAAGAAGCCAATAAGTAAATATAAGACATGATTTTGGTAGCAAATAACCACATGCAAGAACTTTGGACAAAATATTAGCCCTTTCTGAGATGGCCCAAACCCCAGCCTGGAAGTAATGCTTTCAATGGCCCTTTGACAAAAGCATTTCTTCAGACATTGTGAATCGGCTTGCATGCTAGCTATTAAGATTCTGTTTCAACAGAGTTAGTCCCCTCTACACATACGTGTAAAGCCCTTGATGTAATGATTATTCATTATTCTCCTGGGCCCAGTTGTATAAAGGTTGAAAAACACTATCAAACAGATTAATCGGTACCCAGTGGATAAATGACAGCAAAATGGCATTATCCACTGGATAGAGATTTATCCAGCAGATAGTGTTAACTGACCTTTGAACAACCATTGCCTGAGAATTACAGTCATATTCAATAATGGTTTTCCCATGATTTGAGGTGGAGGTTTTTGGAACTTGGAAATGACCAATGAGAAGTGAGCTGTAATGCTTAAGGTACATCAAGACTGATATAAAACTTTTTCAACTCAGCTAAGAATTAAATTAAATCCCTAAATATCCTCAGAATAAACAATGATCTGCACTGTAATGTTATAGGCTCTAGTACCTGTTTTCTCCTGTCTTCTTTCCTCCTGTGTCTTTTCTTTCTTTTCTCTGAGTCAGTAGAATCACCACTTCTGTCTGTTTCTGTCGATGGACTTTTCCTTGACTTTCTTTTCTTCAATTTAGAGGTTCTAGATTTTTTCCTGACATGTAATTTGATTTCTTAATTCAGTATAAAAAAAGCAATGAGTAAAAACATTTTATTGAGAAACTGAAGATGGGGCAAATGTCCACCTTTCAAGTAAAGATGTTATTTTTTGTACTAGTTTTAACAGAACATCTCTCAACCTTTAACTCCCAAGATCTGATTGTTAATTCTCCCATCTAGCTGTTATACATTTCCTTGTATTTAGTTACAAGAATTTGGTGTTATATCATGATAACAACCTCTGACTGATACGTTTGTGTAATCTCACAACCTGTTTATTGGATAGTGTATAGGTTAATTGTAGGGAGAAGTTACATTTAAATCACTTCTGGAAGTTAAAGGGTTAAAGTTCTACAATTATTCTCTTATATCATGTGAGCTGTGCGAGAAATTATCTTCCTACCTTGCTGGGCTGATGGAACTGCGCGACGATCCTGAACTATCAGAGCTTGATTCAGAACTTCGACTTCTTTTTCTATGTTTCCTTGACTCCTGCCATGAACAGGATTATAAATTAAAACAATATACCTCATGCACCACTTGACACTTGGAAAAGAGTTTCTAAGAAAGGGTCAAAGTTGTAATTTCCGACAGAGGTCGCATGAGAAGTTCTCTGTTTATTTATTGAAGTTTAAACTCTCACAGTTAAGAAAAATGGAAAATCTGCAGAGGCTGCTGTGGCATGATCCCTCAAGACTGTACTTCGGTTAAAAAAAGAAGTATTGGCCATACGATAAAATTTAAAGACGTACCTTTCGAGCTGATTCTTTAGAATGCTTGCTCGATCTTTGCGAATGACTTTCTTCCCCCTTGTCCGCCATTAGTTGTGATTGGACGGGAAGGGATGGATCGAGGGAGTTCTTCGAAGGAATACGTTGTGTAACGGTAATGAAACTGTATCAACATGGCTACCTCAAGTGACGGAAAGGTACACCTTTAAATAATGAGGTTATATTCTAAACGACTAGTTTTTCCTTTTTCACCCAATTCAAAATTTTTTCTTCGTTTTTTTTTTAGGAAAAAGAGAAAACTTTGAATAACAAATCGACCATATGGGTTGGTAACTTGGACAGGCGACTGAGCGAGTGAGTGAACAGCTTGCCCAGACAACTAAAGCATCTCATAGCTTTTTCAGAAATTACGCTAATATGGTGTTAGAATTCGTTTGTATTACCCTCTCAGCGTGTTAAAAAGCCTGAAAAAATGCATTCCGAAAAAGATACAAAGCTCGAGATTATGACTGGTTTACATGAGTGCTTCTTTAATATTTTGCCGCCAGCCTTTTTTTAGTTGCACCAGGCCTACGAAACACCTTTACCTTGCTGTCTTTGGGTTTGTTCTTTTAAGCTTAGGATGCATGTCTTTATTTGTGTATAATAGATATAACCTCCTGAAAATTCTTCAGCGGTTTGGAGAGATCAAGAACTTTGACCTCCATTTTCATAAATCTGGTGCAAGAGAGGGAGAGCCATCTTACTGCTTTGTTGAGTTCAAAACCTTCCAGGTACGTAGATAGTTGGAAGAGTGTTGCATGTCATTACAACAATACAAGATGAAGAGGACTAGTATTTGAACTTTTTCTGTTTTGGTCTGGCTCTATAAAATTCTCTAGGAAGCAGAAAATGCTCTGCTTGGATTGAATGGCAAACTAGCACTGTCCAAGCCTCTGACCGTAAACTGGGCAAGGAAAAAAACTGGAGAGGCTGTAAGTGGCAAGCAGAGTTGATGTTAGAATTGAGTTATTTAATACCTTCTTAGTAGAGGTCACTGGTTAGGAACCTCATTAGAATAAAGGATTTTGTAGCTGAGTGGGCACTCAGTGAAAGCTCACAGAACTCTTTACTATGGCAAATTTACTTAACTCATGGATATGAAAGCAATCTTTGCAGTTATGACTTTCATAAATTCGCAGCCATTTACTCAACTCAGTTGTAGACTTCAGCACCATTGTTTTCATCTTTAATTTTTAGCAGATTTACTTACCAGTTATTTAAAAAAACTATGCTTTACCTGGTCTTACTTATCTTTGTGTCTCATTGGTAAAACAAAAGAGAGGAATCTGGGTCAATGTGTTGTGTTCTCCACTCTCACAGAGCCCTTTCTTTACCCTGGACTGTTAGGAACTTGGTGATATCCTGAGGAAGTTGTAATACACCTGGTCCCACGATATATGTTAGACATATCTATATTTATTTTTATGGTGACCTGTCATGTCTTCATACAGGGAAAGAAAGAGAAAGATAAAGTTATAGCAACCACTCCAGGCTCATCACAAAGTTCACTAGATAGGTGAGAGAAGAAAAACAATTGGTGATATTGTAAATTTGGTTATCCTTATTCTCTCCTGTTGTAAAATTATCATAACTTGAAAACTGGCTATCAGCACATGCCAAGAACAATATCAATTTTGCTGCTGCTTAAAACAACAAGGTATACACCCTGTTATTAAGTTGGTGATGTTACTAAAGTATTGCATCTATTATGGTCTTAAGACACGACTATCCCCATATGTGATTATTACAGTTTGCAAAATTTCAAAATGTAACATGGATTTTTGACCAACTGTTGATAGCTTCATGGTGTGGGCAGGTTGATGTAATATTCAAAATCTTTTTCCTTCTCTCTCCAGCTGTGACTCCAAGATACAAGCAATTGAGGCCAAGCTCAAACTGATGGAAAGTGGACATGAAAAAGAACCATCTGGCCAAGGAAAACATCCTCTTCTAGTCCAGAGTGAGCAATTAAGGTCTCACCCATACAAGAAGCAAGAAAGACACCACAGAGGAAGAGGAAGACGTGCAAGATGACAGTGATCCCTTTTAGACTCTCCCTGTCTTGTTAAACTCTTTAACTCCAAAGATATGATTGCTAATTCTCCCATCTAGCCACTAAACATATCCTTGTAAATTAGTTACAAGAATTTGGTGGTATGTCAAGGTAACAACTTCCACTTAATAAATTTTAGTACTCTCATCACCTGTTTGCAGGACAGTGTATGAATATTGTAGGAATAAGTTACATATTAATTACTTCTGGGAGTTAAAGGTTTAATTCCATGTGGCTGAGAAAAAGTTTAACTTTTAACTATAGTGAAATGTTCTGTAAAATGTTGTACAGAGGTTGTTGGGATCATTTTAAAGTATTTAACAGCTTCAAAAAATAACTAGCTGACATTACGGGAATGATGTGGAACAAGACACTGCTATTGAAATTCAGCTCCAAGGTAAAAAGCCTGGGGATTCTGCAAGTGTGTAGGATTGCTTTGATTCACTGATCCAGAAGTTAAAAAATTTACTTGCAGGTGTTTTTTAGCTTACTATTTAATGCCTGAGTGCATATAAATTAGAACCCTTTAACTACAATACACGTACAACATACACATACAATTCAATCTAGTAAATATGTAAAAATGTAAATAACATGTTATGACAAAAATGAAATGAGTAATAAATGAAAGGCACAGGTCTAACTGGACAAAGGTGATGATTTTTGTCATGACCTTTTTGTATGATCAGAGAAGTATGACTTGACCTATTCACACCAAAGCTTAAACATGTTTTACAGCTGTTTTGATTTGATTTTTTTTTAAACACAGATGAAAATTGTCTTCTCCATAGCTGCTTAAACTGGTGTTTGTTGACTCAAAATTTTGCACATTTAAAATACAAGTGAGTGACTACTTGAATCCTATGAAAAATTCAGTTTTTTTAGTCCTCTGTTTCATTTTCATTCAGTCAAACCAAGTTTAACTAAACATTTGTCTGCTGTTTTCAGGGGTAGGGCACACTGCAATAACAGTTTTCTTTTCTGCCTCAGGTAGATCCCTAGTATACTTTCTACAGTCAACCTGTGATTCATTTTACCTTCCTAAACTTTTAGAATGGAGACTGGAGGAAAGAAGGCATTTCATAGATGATTGGTTATTTGCAAGACATTGTAAATAGCTATGCATTTTTTTTAGCCTTTTCTTTAAGAAATATTCAAATATAGCCAAGTATAGTTACTGTAGACTTTTACTGAGGCCTTTTTACCTCTCAATTTCTGCACATTTTGTTGTCATTTAATTTTGATGTCCCTTTTAGTATAATCCTGCTAATTTCAGAAACCTACCATGGTCTGGGGAAACTCAAAGGCTTCATGTCCTGGAATTACATTTTTTCAATTCTCAATTCTTTTAAAAAAAATGCCACAATGCCCAAGCCTTTCTGAGTTTTTTTTTATGAATAAAATAACTCTATGTTAGCATGTACAGTGGTATGTTGCACACACCAATCAGATTGCCACATTAGGGTATGTATCTAGCACCAATCAGGTTGCTGCATTAGAGTATGTATCTTGCACCAATCAGATTGCTAGATTAGGGTTTCTATCTCGCATCAATCATATCACAGCATTTGGATATTATGCACCAATCACAGCGTTTGAGTATTGTTTTCTTGTTTTCATGGGATCAGGGGGCTGTGCAAAAACCATGACATTAATCAGAAATTTTGCATTTTATCACATACTCTAACTACATTATCCAACACCACTGAGAAAAATTCACATGAAACTTTGTGCCACTGATGGTGAATTTTCCACACATTTTCATATGTTTTGACTTTCAGTCTATGAATAAAATTTGCTTTTAGCTACCTTGGAATTAACCCAAGGTAGGAACACAGTGTCCCATCTTGACCTATCCAGCTAAAAAAGTCACTCTTGCATGCTACACATGCCTATATTTAATGTTTGGCACAATAAAAAACATGTTCTTGGGTGTGGAAAACTTTTGCTTTATCTCAACCCTATTACATCGAACAATATTATTCACATTCTCCAAACTATTCTCTTCACATTTCCCATGGTGCCAACAAAGACAATTTGTTTGACCACCAGGAGCTTCTTAATTTGGTGATCATTTCCTTTAGTCTCATGACTTTTACATTAAATTTAAGGAAGATACTGTCAAGAGAATTAATATGCTAGTCACTGTTAGGGATTAAAGGCTCCAGTCAATACAACACAGGTCTTCTAAATTTAGATCAGAAGCTGACTCAGAGATGAATTTTGACTGATCAATTAAAAATGAAAAATAGGAAGGATTTGGAAAACTCTAAGGCTGTATGCTCAATAAGCAGTGACCTACAGGGAGGGCACAAATTTGGATTTTTCAGGCCAACTAAGGGCAGTGCAAGGCAGGCATGAAGAGAGTGAGAATGGCAAATCATGCACAGGAAGGGCTTAAACAGCCACTGCACTTCTTGTCCCACACCTTTTCAATGTGTTTATCTCTGCTTGGCTGAAATATGCAGGAAAAGCAACATTTTATCTACAGCCAGTTGGAATTTATCCCAACCAAAACTATTTTATATAGTACTAGAGACAAATTAGAATAAGAAAGATGGAAGGTTTTGAGCTTGGTAGAGAAATAGCTGAACTTCGTAATAGACCTTATTCACCATAGAGTCCTTGTGGCTCAGTAGTAGGGCATCAGAGCATGGAATCCAAAGATCTGAGGTTCGATTCCTCATGGGGACACACAATGTTTTCTTTGTCCCATGCTTGTGACAAGACAAAAAACATCTTTCTCAAAAAACAAATTATTTATTTCACATCAATTTTTCTACTTGTAAAAGTGAGATGATAACATTCTGATGACTTACTTGGACTAGAAGCTAAGTCCTGGAGAAAATAATTTTACTGTACTTACTGTAACCTTACAAAGTTCATTATTGTTAAATATAATTGCAGTCTAATGACAGTGTGCTAGGGAAGTATATAAGAGTTTTCATGTTTGTGTTCCAGTCTTTTCACGCAGTGATCCCTGGCTGTGACTTGGCTGTGATTTATCTTTCCCTGTCTCTTTCTTTAGAACATGGAGAAGCGTTTGAGAACTTTCAAGAATCTGGAATGAAAACAAAATGTATGTTTGAATGATTTTGATGCAATACTTACCAGGATTTGAGTTGTTTCAATGAAACAACTCAAATCCTGGTAAGTAGTGCATCAAAATCATTCCTCCATTTTTAGGATTATCTGTTCTTAAGCCCAGTTTAAACATCAAACCTCATACAGAGAGGAACCCAAAATTTTAAGGTTCCACTTCTTATCCTGCTTTACACTCATCTCTTTCTGGGATACTTTAACCCAAAAACTAGACCTATCCCAAATCTTTCCAGAAAACCATATGCTGAGTATTTCAGTGTCGCATCCATAGGAATTAAAACTGTGATGCAACCTGCACTGAATCTAATGCTTGAATCAGCACATTATCCATTTTTTTGGGGTCTATTCATTCCCTTCTTTCAGACAAGCAATCACTGTGAAAAGTGCTAATGACTGTTATTTCATATCAGTTTGATATCTGAATTGATAACTGGGTCTTTTAAAATTGTCATAACAATACACTTTTCATGATGTTCCATAGTAAGAAAATAATCAAATAGGGGATTTTGTTCTCACAGACCAACTGAAAAAGAAATGTTTCATCAGTCCACTTAGCAGAAGTGAGTCTTAGATCTTGGAAGTTAATGGGTTAACAATTGGTTGTGTGGTCCAGGTAAATTTCCATGTAAATCAACCCTTTTGGGCTGACCACTATTTGGCCAATTACTGTTAAATTGAGGTACTTTGGTCACAATGGACTGTTAATTTGTCACTTCCTTGTCCAAATGTTACACAAGCTCAGCCTTTTCTTTACAAACACAAAAGGTTAAGTCTTCAGTAGATAATTTTATATGATAAGGGGGAACTAACTGGTTCTTAATTGCCACAACCAATCCTAGTTAGGATGAGGTGACTGAGAGTTCAGCTAACCATTGTAAATTCACCCTCTCTCCCATCTGGGTTTCCCAGACAATTTGCAAAGGGTGGATAACACTATCCACTGGAGAAATTATTATTTGGGGGGAAATTGTTATCTGCCCTTCGAACAACTGGACCCTGATGGGATAGAGGCATTGCAGGAACTAAGAGTACTTTTCAAGAAGAAACACAATGAGTTGATTGGCCCTGGCCCAAGGATTGAATTCAGCACCTCCCAATTTGTACAAACAAGGTCACTGCTTTTTACATATCTTTCTATTCGCTTGTGAGTGAATTTTAAGTATTCCCACTTCCCTCCACTGCTGATTCCACCAGTTAAGGTGAGGAAGGCTCAACTTTTTAAAAGTTGCCCACTCTTCCATCTCCCCTGCCCCCAAATCTCCAGTGGTGGAGGAGGGGTTTGAGTACCAAATTTGTCATCTGTAATTTTAAGGACACTCCCTGAGTAGCAGAGTGTCTTTCTGAACGAATTGACCAAAACCCACCTTCATATAAGCTGCTTCCGTCTCGGCAATCGTTTTGTCGTATTCAGTTCTGGAAGCTATCTTTTTAGCGAGGCTTTCATTGATTTTTGCCAACCTTTCGCTGAGAATTCGAATGTCGTTTTGAATTTTTGCTTTCTCCTCCTCTTCGTTAAGTATTTGTTTCTGAAGTTCGTCTCTTTTGGTGCAAAGGTCCTCTATACCTAGAACATAAATTTAAAGAAGCGACTTTTTAAAACTAAAGTCCACTTTTTTGCTATAAGCGAGCAAAAACCTGTATCGTACACTACAAAACTGAACGAAGATCGATAGACTATTCACAAACCACGTCTTTTCTAGTTGTCAAATTTTACCTGACTTACCTATTATCAGTGACGTCTATTGAAAAAAAATTACTTACATTTCACTAGCTCATTGTTGTACGTTTGTAAAGTTGCTCCTTGTTGTGACATCACGATCGAAATCAAGCTTAAAAATTATGTGTAAACTTAAATCATAAATATTGCCAAACCGGTAAACTGGTGACTTTTCTTTCTTCCGCGTTATGTTTGGATGGCGTTGTCCTGGAGCTGAGTGAGCTGGGGATACGCTGGTTCGCAACCTCGTTTCTAAGTTACTTGGAGATTTTGGCTCCTTGTTAGTGTTATGGTCACCAATCCTCTTAGGCAAGACTGTCCGTACGCAACATGATCTCGAGACCGAAATTACGATTATCGTTATTTCTAAATTGGCACCAAATTTATGGATATAGTAATTTCGTGGCACTCTTTACCAATGCTCTTTACACGTGTTAAATAAAGAGAAGGACTCGGTTCCACTGTCTTACAACATTCAAGATGGCGGAGGAAAGGGGTAAATGTGCGTTCAGTTGTGATCAGCATGATCTCGACACCAAAATAACGATTACCGTTATTTCTAAATTGGCCCTGAAATAACGAATATCATAATTTCAGTGCATGTCTGAGACCTTCGGGCTCGAAGCTTGGGAACTAGTATTCAGGGAAAGATAAAATGGCGGCTTACGGCGGCGAAGGAAATCTCAGTAGTTTAATATTTAGCGTGAAAAGGCTTGGGTGTTGTGATCTGGTTCTCAAGTAAAAAAAAAAAATCACGGTCTGCAATGGCCCTACCACCTTTTGAACAACAAGAAAACATTGAAACGGTGGTAAAAAGCAGCAAGTTTCGAAGTCTAAACGAAAGATGGGTAAGCTGAGTTTCAGTCAAATATCATGACATTTGGGATGTAATTTCGATACCGAATAAATAGTTCTACATGGTTATACACGCATAGGATTCTGTTGTGTTCACGTGAAGGCCATTTCAGCCATTCCTGCCACTTGTAAGTGGTAGGAAATAAAAGATATGTATAGTTGTTTCGTATTGAAGCCCTGTGAAATCACAAATTTGATTTATTTCTTCTTTGTTTTAGGTGGTCATTATCCATTACTTTTGGAAGTCGATGCTGATGAGAAAAAAATGTGTAGTAAATGTTTATGATTATTTCTTCTCTCGAACATTTTACTATTTAGGTACCAAATAATCTTGATACTGAAGACCATTGCATCCTATTATGAAAAATGTACCCCTGATTGCTTTGTCAACATGTATGATGTAATATACCTTGAGATTTGTGGGATTTTCATATGTAAACTAGAAATACCTGTAGAGGATAATGATGTACTTAATGCAAAGTGTTTTGGTACAAAGTCTGCTTTGCTGTAATCTACCTGAAGGTTCTTTTTATATGCTAGTAACACTTGCACAGCCCAGTCAAAATGTTCTTTAGTAGTAGTCAAGCTGGCTGTTGTAATTATAGGCAGCAGAGGCCAAACCTCATCCTGAAAAGCAGTCTGAAAGGTGTGAAGTCAGTGGAAGATACTTCATTGTAGGTGGCCAAATTGCAGGCTGTCAGCCCATTTTGAGTGAGTAGTTAAACTCAAGATCGGCTATTTTAACTAATTTTATTGAGAGCCAAATCCTGCAAGGCTTATATTCTGTATTAATTTGAAGTGTTACTTTTATGTTTCTTATTTTGCAGTAAGTGGGCTTGTTGTGGCCATTTTTCTCTCAAACATTTTTTTCAGCTTAGTCAAAACGTTTTTTAGAAGTAGGCAAGCTGGCTATAGTAACAGAAGGTAGAGACCAAACCTTGTCCAGACTAGACGCCTAACAAATGTTCTGTGTGGAAAGCCAAATCCCTGGTTACTGGCACATTTTGACTAGGCTATTTGTTATTTAGCTACTCTTATTATTAAAGATTACTGCATTCCTTTTTAATAATTTGCTGCTAATTGTATGCTGTATATAGCTTATGATTTGTGTGATTTTCAAGAGTAAATTAGAAATACCTGAAGATGGTAATGATGTACTAGATAACGTACTTGATGCAAAGCAATTTTGGCACAAAGTGTATGCCTTGTCCTCAGGTGATTTTAACATGCTAATAAGATTTGTTATTCAAATAATATACGTCAGCTGGAATGGGAATATTGAAAGAAAAATAATAATATTTAACCATAACAAGTTTTGGTTTTATGTCCAAATTAAGCACTTAGTTGAAGATCACTGCACTGATCAGGCCCCGAAGGCCAAAAAAGAGCTGTCTGCTGTTAGTTTAATTTTTGTCATTTCTATTGATTTATTTTATTTATCAATGTTTCTTTGAGTTATAATTCATTGACCTCTTTCAATAGTGCAGGTTCTCTCGTGTAACCTAATCCCACATGTATGTATGTACAATCTCAGTTGAAATTTTGAGTGGCAGGCAAGCTGGCAATAGTAATAGGCAGCAGAGGCCAAATCTTGTCCTGAATAGAAGTCTGACATGTGTGAAATTGGCAGCTATTTCATTGTAGGTGGCCAAATTGTTGGCTGCAGCACATTTTGACCTGGCTGATTGTGTGTGTGTTATGTATGTGTTCTTCTTTTTAGGTGTTAAACAGGTCAAAGTACCGAAAAAAACCTCTGTGATAACTTGGTAGTCTAAGATGTAAAAATTTTTAATAATAAGGTAAAGCTTGATCATTCTTAAGAGTTTGCATCTGTTCTAAAAGTTTTGGGGAGAGTTAGGGGAGCATTATTTATACAAATGTATTTAAAAAGTAACAAAAAAATAAAAAGAACTAGGGCAAAATCCCAATTTGCTTTAAAAGTTTATTTTATTAAGAGCATAATTCTGGATATAGCTTGGGATTTGTGTGATTTTCACAAATTGTTAGGTTGTTATGTAAACTTAATTTACAGGAACCTTGTTAGTTTTCAGCTTCAAGAACAAGTACATAATTGCAGGAAAAGCTTGAAGCTTGAAAAATTGACTGATGAAACTGGAACAGATGTCATGAGATTTGTACAATAGGTTGGCCTGGGAGGGACCAAGAATTAAAGAATTCATTGATTCTCTTACACCTTTTGTCTGCATAGTGTGCTTCTGTAGAGCTTGGTTATTGCTGTAGAAAACGTTTTTGGAGGGCCCTTGAGATCACTCACTTTTGAGCTAGTTGCCCCTAGGGAAGAGGATATCTGTACTTATTATCTCCCTTGGGGGGGGGTGAAGGGTTAAAGACTGATTCTTCTCCAGTAGCCACAAGTACCCCTGCATATGGAAATTTTGAACACTATTAAAGGGCTAGTACCCTCATTTCATACTTGAATTTCTAATTTAGTGTAAGTTATGACAAATAATGAATGTAAATTCATCTTGGTTGTACAGGTTATATCCAGCAGTCCTTAAAAAAAAATATAAAGGTATTTTTCTGAATTAAAAAAAAAGTGTTCTTGCTTCAAAGTAAGTGCATGATATGTCATTCAATTAATGCTCTAGCAGAGTTTTTGTTTGAAATGCCAAAATCAACTTCATGAGTAAGGACAAAAAAAAAAGGCAATAAGCAAATGTTCCTCTGTATCCTTTATGTCAATTTGGGCTGAAAAACAGGTTTTTTTCCTTTTGCAAAAATTAGCTTATTTCACGACCAAAAACGATGTAAACAAGCTGAAACGTTATGTTTTCAGTAAAACAGCGATAGAATCTGCGAAAAAACAATGGAGACAAGCTAACACAGTGTTCTCAGTAAAATTTGGGCAAACAAAACCTTAAAAACCAAAAAAAAAAAAAAATGCGCTGACTTACCCATTTTTTGCCAAGATAACTGCCAAAACACTGAATACTAGCTTGAAACTACATGTTTTTCACAAGATCGCGACGAAATCTGTCTAAAAACTCCAAAATACGGCAGAAATGTACGATTTTTGCAAAATTTTTCGCTAAAGTTGACAAAAACACTAAATTCGACTGAAAAACACGTTTGTTTTTTTTGCAAAAATAAGCTTATTTCAGTTTTAAAAACGCTGCAAAAAATGTTCTCAGCAAAATAGTTTAAGAGTCTGTGGGAAAACACAAAAACCAAGCTTAAACCAAGTGTAAATTGATAAAAAGGCCCGAATTGCGCATTTTGGCAGTTATTTTGGCAAAAAATGGTATATTTTGATTTCAAGCAAACTTTCAAGTAGTTGTTAAAGTTTAGAGCCAAACACAATACCAAAAAAAAATTGGATGTTTTCAGAAAAAATTGTGACCCTCAGCCTAATCATAATCCCACCCTACCCAAGCCCTAACTCTAGCTGCGAGCTATCCTAACCCTAACCCTAACCCCGGGTTAGGGTTAGGGCTCGGGTTAAGAACGGAACTTTTCACTCCAGTCAAAATGATGCAACTGGTTAACATGGTCCAACCAGCCAAAACAAGATAAAATGGTTTAAACGGTGAAAAGATTTTAAATACGTGACATGGTCCAATCGGAAGAAACGATCTCACTTAGTAAAATGGTGCGACTGGTTAACATGATCCAACTTGATAAAATGATGCCAATGTCTAAAATGGACAAACTGGTTTAAATAATCCAACCAGTTGAAATGGTCTAACTGGATAATGCATGTGTAACCAGTGAAATTGGTTCAAATAATTCAGGTAAGGATGGTAACATTAGTTAAAAAGATCTAGCATATTACAGTGGTTCAACTGGTAAAAATAATCATCCAACTACTAAAAGTTATTAAACCCCAATCAAAATTAATCCAACCGCTTCAAATAATCTAACTGGTCAAAATTCTTCAGGTGGTTATTTAAGTGAAAAAGGTGACAAAATCTTCTTAAAAATATTTTTGAAGAGGCTTACACCCTTACCCTAAACACTAACCCTACCCCCAAACCCTAACCCCAAACCTTCACCCTAGCCCTAACCTCAACCGCAGACCCTCTAACCCTAACACTAAGCCTAAACCCTAACCCTAACCTTAGCCCCACACCATAACCCTAAAACCTAACCCTAAACCCTAAACCCTAACCTATAGCCCTTAACCTAGACCTAACCCTAACCCTAACCCCAACCTTCTCTATCTATCCTGTAAGTGTACCAGTCGGCCTATCGTTTGTTTTTCAGTAAACTTTCAAGTAGTTACTGAAATTTACAAACACAATACCAAAAACCCTGCTATTGAATGCTTGTCGAAAAATATTAACG